GCACATCTGTTCTCCACCCTTGTCTATGTATAGACAAATTCCCTGTTAGACAACAAAGATGAGGGGTAGTTTATTGTATTTCCTGGATACTGAAGAGCTTGACAAATTAAAGCTGCATCAGGGAGGGAGACTGAGAGACACAGCAGCTTAAGTCTGTTCCTATGGTAGCAGAGGCTTCCTCACTGCTGTACTGCAGTTAATGACTGGTAACTTTGATAAATGCTATGCACTCATTGACACTTTTAGCTAGATGAACATGCGCACACCTCCTCTGGTTAACAGTCCATCATCTACTTTGAGATTTTTAAACGCTTGTGGCACCAAAATTGGAATGTGAGACACTCTGTCGCTAAAGAAATTAATGAGTCTAATTAAAAGGTTAGAACAAGAGAACAAACATCAATGCTGTGTGCTGTTTTCATGGCTCAGGATTAAAAATGCACATACGCTATTGCTCATAGGTTTGGGGTCAACTAGGATATTTAAATTCATGAAAACTTAATCTAACAGATTTGCAGTGAAAAGAAATAGACGTTAATGACATTAGATAAAAATATTTTTGATTGATGGAACAATTTTGTACTGTGTACTGTCTCAGTTTTGCAGTCTTGCAGCCCTTTGGCACTCTGGCAGTTTTTCTGTTCCCATAACAGATCAGTAGTTAAGAGCCAGTGACTGCGCTGGCCACTCCATTATAGGCAAAACACCAGCAGACTGCTTTTTCTGAGTAGTTCCTATAAATGTCAGAGCTGCTTTGGAAATCAACTCCAGTCCTGCTGTATCCACAGGCACTGTATGGCACTACAAAACAGAGTGAAAGCCTTCCTTTCTCTTGTTCAAGATCTTTTGCTGTACAAATCTCCCACTTTAGCACGACCAAAGCCTCAAACCATCAAATTTCCTCCACCACACTTAGCAGATGCTGTCAAACACTATTCCAGCATCATTTCATGTCTGAAAACTGCTTACGTCTGCCCAATATTTGTGTGTTGTGTTTTGGGGATTTTTTCCCCTGTCTTTATTTTCTACTTTTATTGACTGATCACAGTTATGGCTCTTTGGACAACTCTTCCTAGAAGGCCAGCATCTAAAAATCACCTGCAGGCTGGTGTTTTACAGGAACCATTTAATGCAGTGACCAGTTGAGGACCTATGAACGATCTTTTTCCTCAAACTAACCACTTTGTACTGTGACCGGAGAATACTACACAATGCTGACATAAACACCGAAATTTCAGATTGTTCAGTTTGCCTGGTGCAATAGCATTTACTTCTTAAAACAAGAAAACTGAGTTATTTTTTTAGCCATGTTGAGTGTAATCAAAACCAGGAACCCTTATGTTTCAGACACAGAAGTAAATTTATTGCTTATGTAATCAGTACAATCGTTTTCAGTTGTGCTAACATAATTTAAAAAACTGTGGATTTTAGGAGGGGAATTTGAATTTTACATGATAAATTTGCATTAGGTTGCATGTTTTGTAGTGGTTTTTTTTAAATATTACTTAAAAATAATACATTATTTATGGTTAAGAATTGCATTTTTAAATGGTCATTTGTAAAATTACTGATGAGGTTGACGTTATTTCAAATAAAAACCAAATGTGCTTTACTTCATTAAAAGGAGCAGTAGAGGCTCACACAACTGTGATTACCGACAGACCAGTGTAGCTACACACTGCCTGATTAATGTACACACACATTAAACACACCTGTACACACACTGCCTTAAGGATTGTGCATTTCTGCGCCTTGGTGGGATGCCCAGATTACTTGAACTGCCTGTCTTTACATCTTAATTAGTGAGAGGATGTCTTTGTGCATAATTACTCACAAATCCCCCTACAGGAAATGAATGCATTAGCCAAACCACGCAAAAAAAAAAAAAAAAAATCACACACACACACACACAATCAATGCTGCTTATTGAGGAGGGCTGTAATGAGACATCTAAAGAACTGGGATTTCAGCTCTGCAGGAGACAAAGGCAGTGTACAATATCAGGGCTTGCAAATGGAGCTCTATACCTCACGTTTGTTTTGTTTCCTAACCGCGAGATCCCGTGTGTGCAGAACTGTCACAGGTGCATGCCTGCGGGTGCATGTATAAAGCCGGGAACTAAGGAGTACTTGTCTGGTTTTACGCCAAAATCCAGTGTACTTTGTGTGTTGATAAAGAGGGTGTGGTCTCAGGAAATCAGCTTATAGAATAATGGAAACATCTGCACGTCGTAGCACACCACCTTAGTAAGAACAAATAATGCCAATTCAAAACTCTTTGCATTCTCACGCACATGGAGCGCCCATCATAAAAAAAGCATTTAGGGGGTTTCTCAATAAACAAGTATCATTATCACTAATACTGTGTATTTGATGCTTTCAGACTGCCTGCAGCAGTCAGTCTGCTTCTCTTCTTTAATGGGAAAATGACAGGGGAGAGGGAGAGAGGGCAAGTTTAAAGTTGAAGTAGATTCTGTGTGGGGTTTTTGTTGTTTTTTTTTTAAGTCATGTCCTCAGGGAAACGATAACTGTCATGTGGGCTCATTTATCGCATACCCCAGGAAAATCGTCTGATGCATTAAAAACATGCACACCATAACATACAACTGCACTCATTACATACTAATACATAGTGCCCGGGTGCAGACCCATACAGAGATGGAGAGTTGATCACTTGTAGAGCTATAAATCACAGCAGACAGCTACTCATTGTGGGTTTCATTTTTTTGTTTCTGCCTGGAAACCTGCTGTGAGATTGGATGAAGTGAAAGAAAGAGAAAGGGAGGATGAGAATTCATTAGAAGAGAGAACGTATTATTTAGATGGTTGAAAAGCTCGGGTGTTAATATGATTCTGGCTGGTAAATTTACCTGCATGAGCCAAAGCTTTTGTGCAGGTTTGAGGGTACAGATGCATCTGTTGATGCGCGTGTGTGTGTGTGTGTGTGTGTGTGTGTGTGCTTTCGTCTCATTCACTTGTAATACTGAGGAAAGTGTTTACAGAGCATTTCTGATGCTGCTGTGTTCTTCAAACAGATCTCTCTATAAAGACAGCAGTCAGGAAGAAGAGCATTGCACCTTTGTTAACAGCTCTGACAATCTTTGTTTGCACAGTGTGTGCACGCGTGCATGTTTTTTCCTGTAAAGCCTGCAGTCATAAGGGTCTTACCTTACAGAATCTTAACTGTGAACAACTCTGTCAGACTGTATATGCATTCAAAGCGAGCACTTCAGATATCTAGAACTTGTTTTGAAAATGTGTGTACTGTATGTGCTTATGTGTGGTTTTGTTGTTGCGAGCCTCCCAGAGAAACCCTACAGATTCAAAGCTGTTAAGTCATCTGCCATACAGCCAGGCGTGTGCCTAAAATACCTAAATTTAATACTTGTGTTCTTCTAACGTTATGTCTCAACTTGAAGCTGTAGAGGTGCTGACTGCTCTCAAGAGCAGCACCAATACATAACCACTGATGCTGTCTGTGCTCATGGGAAGTGTAGTTAAACATCCATCACAAATAACCAGAGCACACAGTCTCCTATTAAATCTTTACAGAGCTGTTGAAGTTGTAGCAGAGCTGCACTGGAAAAGTAGATCTCAGCGCATCAAGGTGTTAGACTGCTTCAAAGGCCTTCACACTCAAGAGATTTAGAGTAAAAGCGTCTCTGCTCCATTCACAAGCAGGTTCTGTCAAGCCTTGCTGCCAAGCCTGCTGACTGGTTGTGTTGCTCATGTACAAACTCGCACAATTTGCAGTCACCAAATGTAACTACTTCTTCTAGCTGCAACTTTTTTTTACTTCAGCTTAAAAAAACTACAATGTGTCATTGCTTTAAAACACGTTGTACACTACACTTTCTTACTTTGGTAGGTTAATGAGTGATCAGAACCCTTTATACTTTATACAGTAGTTTATAGATGTTTTCTTAATTATGTGTTTAAGCTGTAAACAGTGTTGGGGAGTAACGGAATAAATGTACCGGTGTTACGTATTTAAAATACAAAATATGAGTAACTGTATTCTGTTACAGTTACTGTTTAAAAGGGTGGTATTCAGAATACGGTTACTTTGTTGAAATAAATGGATTACACGGGGGTCTTTTCCTGTTTCATATGTTAGGCTATGCCCTCTCTATTTTTGGTAATTCCACGCCAGTGGAAACCCAAATGAAACGCACATTAAGAGGCTCTAATGTCTGTCTCTCAATCTCGCGGCCCATGTCACCCCTCCTTGCGGTCGCATAATGATGTGAAGAAATATTTTTTTAAAATTATCATTCAGCAAATGACCTTCCAGAAACGGGAGCTGGAAGCATGTAAATATAATAATAACCACTGCAGCCAAAAAGAGTGCCCGACAAGCCCAGTTGTAAGTAAGCTATTAAGACTCGACTGGACACCGTGTTCGTGTTTTCCTCTGAAACAATAAGTTCCGTTGGAGCAGCCTTTCAACGCCTCTCTCTGTCTCTCACTGGCAAACAAAGTAAAGCTAGTTTTCGGCTACGAGCCCGACACAGAACCGACATATTAGCCAGAGGTCCCTTTAGCAATTTTGCCATTAAGGTCTCAGCATTGTTTTGTTTTTTTAAACCAACATGTCAAAGTTGTTCTGAATCTCCCCCCCCCCCCCCTTTTCTTTGAGTTATGTTTGCCTGCAAATTGCTTAAAGCTGTTGTCTCTTTACTCAGCTTATTTCTTTCTTTTTTAATCTCCACATTTCTTCCGATTTAATTTCCTTTCTCCACCATCTGATCATATATTGATTCCTGCATCTGAATTAAATATCACTGAGTGACTCCAAATCACTTTTGACTCCAAATAACAGTTATTAGCTATAAGCTGACTGGATTTGTATCCTTCCATTTCTACTCCAGGGTGCTGTGATCACTCCAGCTGCTGCCATTGAGCCCAGTTTGTCTATTCACCCCTCCAGTGTAATGGCTCCTCTAACCCAGCAGATGAACCACCTGTCTCTGGGCCCAACAGGCACTGTAAGTCTCCCCTTTGGCCAGTCAGCTCATCGTGCTGTGTGTGCATGTGTTTATTTTATCCTTTGAGTTATATGTGTAATATAATTGTACACTTGCAGTTTCAGTGTTTTTCTCAGAGTAGAAGCTCTAGAGCAGAGGAAAACTGCCCCGGTGCTTCTGTTTTCAGTCTAAAATGTGAAATGACCATAAGACAAATGACACAGTCTGTGTTCTTCCCCTTTTATCTGTAGTACATGCCTGCTGCAGCGGCTGCTCCTATGCAAGGAACCTACATTCCCCAGTACACTGCAGTGCCTGCCTCGGCCATCACAGTGGACGTAAGGACCGAAACAACCTGCAAACTTTCATTTGAAATGAAAACTGCTGATTAAACGTATATATTTTGTGATATATTAGTCTTGCTTAGCCTTTGGCAATCCGTATACTTCAATGAGAGAAATAATTTACACCAAACCCTCCCCAAAGATCAGAGGAGCTGTTTTACAAGTTCACAAGTATATAAAGTTAAAATCAGACAGAAAACTGACCGCACCAGATCAACCTGTCACCTTTTAAAAAAGGTGACAGGTTTTTCTCTTTGGATTCCTTATCTATGTGCCATAAAGGAGTCCCTACTTTTATATGATTGCCCAAAGTTTCAAGGCTTTCTTTTGTTCCTTAATATCTGGCTTTTCCCCCCTGTTCAGGGTGTGGTGACAGACCCCTCTCCACAGACAGCTGCCCCCTCCTCACAGGACGCCAGTGGGCAGCAGCCTTTACCTGTGGAGAACACAGGAGATCACGCCACAGCCTACTCTTACCAGCAGACTAAGTAAGTGTGATGATTGCAAGTCTGTAATTTTTTTCACATGGTCTTGTACAGCTGGTGCATCCTAACTGGTAAATTAACTGTATCTGGAAAAATGAACAGCATCAGCTGTAAAGGACTGCAGTACAATTCCCAGATTATGCCGCGTTTTTTCTGTTTTGGTCACAGATGCATGGCAACCTTTGTTTGCAAAATTCTCCTTCTGGCTTTTTATCTTTTTCCTGGTGTTTATCTTGTTTTTCTGCCTCCTAGATAACCGACGGGTGGTTTCCTTTACACATAGTGATTGTACAAAGACTGTTGTGCCTGCTTACAAAAAAACCCGGTAACATTGTTCACGGTTCCCTCAGTCACGTCCCCTCGCTCACTGACTTTTCTGTCTCTTTTAGATAACAGGATTGGTAGGAATCATTGCTGCGTTGCCTTTAGGAGGACTGCACGAAGGCGCTGGAGACGCAGAGTATCAAAAGGAAACGGGACAAAACAAAAAACAAAAACAGAGGTGACATGGACATCACTGACGGGAGAATGCTTCCACTGTGCACGGGCACCAAATAAAAGACAAAACGAAGAAAAAAAATATCTTTCTTACCTGGTTGAACTAAGAAAAAGACAGAAGAAAAAGCAAATGATGGTTTGCTAAACTCAAAGACAATGAAATCAATGGCAGTCTCCAACTTTGAGTTTTCATTTTTCACCATGAGACTGGACTTTGCCTCCAAAGGAAAAAAAAACAGATAAGGGGACATAAAGAGAAATCTAAAGTCAACCAACTGTACAGAAAAAAATGAACATTTGAATGTGCAGGTAGATTTTCAGACTTTTTTATTGAAAATAGAAGGAAGCCAAGTCTTGAACAAAAACGGGCTGTCTTCCTTTGATATTAAGCTACATTATTTTCATTCTTTTTATTATTTGAGTAGTTTTCTAGAATATTAGTGTTTTCGTAAATCTTTATTGCCTTAATTTTCTCAAACTTTGGGGAAAAAAAGTTTCCAAGTGTTGAATTATTTAAAAAAAGGACTGAGTTGTTGAATGATTTTTTTAAAGGGTTCTTTGTGTTTGAGAGCCTCAGAAATGAAATCTACAAAGCTATCTGTATAAGACAAAAAAAGGTTGTATTTGTATGAAGGTGATTTTAAATTATGTGGTACAGTGCAGGTGATGTTGGTTGACTAGGGGAAAAAAATCCTTTTACAACTTGTGGGAGCGGTCAGCCCACCGCTTCCTGGAAATGCAGTTTAGTTCAATCATGGGAAAGAAATTCAGTTTCTCCACCACTTATTTTGTATTTTTATTTTTTCATTGCGGTGCTTTTAAAAGTTTTTCCTTTGCCTGCTTGCTTGTCTCATTGCAAAAAGAAAAAGGAACATTTCTGACTTTGAGAAAAAGCAGAGAAAAAAAAGCTAGGATTTTTAAATGTGCAAAAAGCAATAGTTTTAGTAAAACTGTTGACAGTTTCTTGAGTCTTTCTTAACTGTTGAACAAAAATACAGCCCGCGGGTGGCATATTTTATACCAAAGATGAAGAAACTAAGTTGTAAAGAGATCTTCCTGTTGCTTTTTCTTAATTTTTTCCACTTTGAATCTGCTTTTTGGTTTTTGTCAAGCTGTTGCTGTGTGAAATGATCAGTGAATGAGAGCATGCAGTTGGTCCTTTAGCACATTTGCCTCAATCGGACGAGATGTTTTGTGCGTCATGTGCTCAAACTACCACCGCATCTAAAACCCTGCGGAATCCTGGTGAAAAAGCTACTTTTTATTAGACACCCAACGACATCCTGCCGAGGCCTCATCGACTGACCTTACATAACAACGCCGAGATGGCATAGCTCGCGATGAATGCTTCCCAAAATATGACAGATGTCATTGTTTTGCATAATCTAAGTCCAACTCACTGTTTTGTCTCGTTCTTGCCAAACACAAGCCACTGAAAATATGAGCAGGTCAATGATCTCTGTGAGAGGAAAGGGCATTCCTGTTGAACGAAATGATTTCAGCTTATATATATTCTCCTAAAAACATAAGGAGAATTACTTTTATGTTGCCTTTACTTTTGGGGGTTTTTTTTTCTCTTTTTGATGATTATGTGTGAGCTGCTAAACACTTTTCAGTATTGGGGATTGAGGTTGTCTTATGTTGGGTCTCCGTGGAATATTTGCACCTCCAGAGTGACTGTAATTGATCATTTTAAGCAGAATAAAGATGAAAGAAACACAAACGTGCATTATTGTGCCTAGAGAATATCGGTTGAGAACAGAAGAAAACTTAAGATGAACTTTAACTGGCTCGCACTGGTTCTGAGGTCACGCCTAAGAGTCACACGCCTTGACTTTCCACCAATGAAAGGAAGCTAAGGAGAGACACAAGAAACGAATGGACATAGGAGAAAACAAAATTGGTTTAACCAAAATCAAATGGATAGAAAGCTCTAAAATAAACAGGGGTAGGGAAAGAGAGAGAACTCAAAATCAAAAGTAATATTTATAAGATCTTTTTTTTGTACAGGTGTGTACAAGAAGATGCAACAGAAGTAACTTAGCTATTTTTTTATTTGCTTGGTCACATGCCTCCCATGTCTTTAAAATTGTGATTTTTGAGAGTGTCTGTAGAACCAGTGGATATTCCTGTAGCTTCAGATGTGTCTTTTTGTTTGTTTCTTTGTTTTATTTTCTTTTTAGTCGAAACTTTCAATAAAAAATAACAAAAACGAACTCGTCCTGGATATTCTGCAGGAACAACACACTACCACTGGAGTGCGCTATTGTTTTCTGTAGAAGGAAAGGACTGAAAGTCCATTGGTGTGCACGTGTGCAATTTTAGTAAGTGACCAAGGTAAGTTCACACACGCAAAATGGTTTTAACTGCTGTAAAGGATTAAAAACGTTTAAGCGTTTAGTTTCACCAAGCGAGATTATGAAACTACAGCTCCAAAAGATGCAGTTAGTTGAGAAGTTTATTGCATGCAGTACTGACAAGAGAGCTCATTATCGCCACAGCAGAAACGGTGCAAGCAGTCTGCATCAAATGACAATCATGCATCATTTTCTCCAGTGCAATGACAACAAAATGTCAAGAGAGAGTTTTATTCATGCAGTTTAGTCATACATCATACTTGCTGTTCCTGTGAACAAATTACTGTCATGAAATCTTTATTTTTATTCATCTTTTCTTTATAAAGAAATAATAAATAACCAGGAAAGTACCAAAATATTACTTTGTAACAGTTGCCAGTTTCATCTACCAGCTGAATCAGCAGGATGTAAAAACAGTGTCTCTGCTTCAAGTCCATCAATCCATCCATGTGCTTCACCACTAATGGATTGTCATTGCTAACAGGGCTTAATTTTTCTTTTCCCAACTGCTCCATTTATACAACTGAATGAACCACTTGTGTACAACTATCCAACAATACTTTGCTCAGAATGCAAGCCTTTTATAACTCACTGCAGCAATATACGACTATGATGCATTTAGTTCAATCAAGAGAAGCACGTAGAACTGCTGTAGCACTGAATGACTTTCTGTGATGACCAAATTAGTTAAGTAGGTTGTATGTAAATAATTTTAAACTGATATGAAAATAATAAGACAACGGCATCATTTATTAAGGAAATGTTAATTCAAAAAAAGCTATAGTTGTCCGCTTAAAGTTTGGCAAGACCATACACAATATAAAACAATACATTAAAGCTACAGTACAACAATTTGCTACCATTTTCAGTGCTATAACATGTAAAATGCAGGGAAAGAAACAGTAACTCATGCTCTGGTCTAAAGCGGGCGTTCGACTCATTTTGGGAATTGCACAACAAGAACAAGCACATGGAGACTGATGGATGCTCTTATATTTTTGTGCCATTTAGACAAACACTAAACGCTATTTTGTTGAGCGCAGTCAACTAAATTTTAAAAAAAGTACATTAATTTTTGTAAGATTCCCTGAGGTAGAGAATGAAGAGTGGTCTAATGCTTTTTAAAGCTGCTTTTACATATTTTATCTGAAGCTAAAACCCTCAAAGATGCCAGCACAACGTACTGCATTGATTTTGAGGCTCTTCAGTTTTGTTTGTTTTTTTAAACTAAAAGCTAGTTCATGTCTCAACCTGAATAATAACACATTTGATTGTTAACGTCCAGTCCAGGCGTCTTGGCACATGCAACTGTAGGATTCTCCGAACCTCTTGCAGAATTACAGCAGTTCCCAGGCTTTTCAATAGCCAGTGATTTCCTCTGTAACCTACGTTCTCAGTAGCAGGTGCGAATGAAGATGATGAAAACTAAGACGACAGTCATAATTGTTAGCGCCGAAAATAGAAAGATGAGGCCGGCAAACACGGGGTTTGACATAGGAGGGATTTTCTTCACTTCGGAAGGAATCATGTTGGACATACTCAGCATGTAGCCCAAACTCCAGCCTATATTAGTTTTCTTTACCTACAGGAAAAGAAAGAAAACAAGTAATTTGAATGTTTTATATTTAAAACCACTTGCTTCCAACACCAGTACACCACCTTGCATGTCAGCAGGATGAAAATCATGAAATTGTATAATTACAGCTGTAGGGCAAAAGATGAGTCATAGCACCCAAAGAAGAAGAAAAAGAACAGGCTGTTTCGTAACTCAAAGTCTTGAAAGAACCTATCAAGCAGCAGACATCCCAAACTGCACACTAACGCCATTGTTGGAAATTGGGAGAATTGCCAGCTGTTTAAAAAGTCCTGTCTTGAGTGCAAAAGGCCGAACGCTCTTTGCAGTGTGGAAACATTGGCTGTAATCGTTCGTCCTTTATGAATCATGAGTAATATACAGAGTGTCAAAGACCAGGAATCCCCTTCTGCTGAGGGAGTTTCTTTGTGACAAATTGATGGCATGCCTTCTGCTCTTTAGCTTTTTCATTGCAGACTATTCCTACGACATCAACAACAGTTTCAAGTGGGTGGCCTCATTCACATACGACTGCCAAAGGCAGTTAAATGGCTTCCTGTATTTGAACATGTATCAGCTGTCAACAGCTTTCCAAAACAACTCTCACCAAATTAGTACATCTTACAGTTATATTTCAAGAAGAATTAGCGCACAAGCCATCCATAAACTTTGAACAATGGGAGGATTGTAATGTACTAGCCTCATAGAAGGCAGTAGTGAAACTTACAAATAAAAAGAATACTATTTGTGTCTTATTTACTGCTGTTTAACCAACCTGTTGTTGAAAGTTAATGTTTTTCCAGGTGTCTGTGTCGAATTTGTATCCATCCGCCAGCAAAGTAAAGACGTAATGACCTGCGTAACAGTGGGTCTCGATGAATTTGACGTTCTTTTGTGCGTTCAGCTGAAAGAAGGTTGAACAAAGATCAGCGTTTAGCCTGTGATTGTAATGACACAAGCTAATTGTATTAATTTCAGTTTAATCCCATTTCAGTGAGAAATGACGATTATTTAATCAAGATCATGAAAATATTGTGTAACAAAGACGGAGTGCAGTTTATTTCATTACCTTTATCCTGAAGTAACTTTGTTTCTTTTGCACAGCTGCACTCTACAGCTGTGGTTAGCACAAGCATGTCTCTCTAAATCACTTTTTTGGCCTGACATTGAGTTTGTTACCTAACTGATCATGTTTTTAAAAACTGATGTGGCAGACACTCGCAACAAAATCGAGGGTCGAGGAAATGCTTTCAAAGATGCCGTTGGTGTTGGTGCCAAGAGAGGGTGCTCTGAGTTTTTTATAAACTGCAGACCTACTGGGAGTTGAGTGAGTGGTATTTCTCTGGGGGAAAATGCCTTGTTGATTTCAGAGGTCATCTGAGAATGGCCAGACTGCTTAGAGGAAAGGGAACAATAACTCAAATAACCACTTGTGACATGGTTGCTGGGTGCCAGACAACCAGGGTATACAAAAGCACAGGCTCACTAAAGGGCAAGAGAAGAGCGGAAAAATGTTGCCTGGTCTAATGACCCTGGATTTCTGCTGTGACATTCAGATGATAGGGCCAGACTTTGGTGCAAAAAGCCTGAAAGCGTGCTGCTTTGTATTAATGGTTTAACGTGGTGTTGAGGATATTTTCTTGGCATATTTCGGGCCCCTTAGTACCAATTGATCCTCCTTTAAATGCCACAGTTTTGAAGGTTGAAGGGGGTGCAACTCATTAAAGGTGTACCTAATAGAGTGTCCAGTCAGTGTATATTACTCGTAAAAAATGTGGACACACGAGCAAAAAGAAAATGTGGGCGCACAGCATTGTCAGAGCTGGTGAGTAGTTTACTTTCTGTTGTGCCTTCTGTTCTAATCTTGATGAATGAAAATGACAACGTATTTTATGTAATTACCTTCATATTAATTCTGTCATTCTCTCCTTCCTAAACATGATTTCTGTTCTTCCTCACCTTAATTTCTTGATTTTCTACCTGTATGAAAACTTACCGTTGCCCAGTTTTTGTGGCAGAAGTTCCTAACTGAGGTGTTGAAGTGATTAATGTTTGATGTGCCATTCAACTGCAGAGCCAGGGCAGTCCAGAAGAATCCAGCGTATGCCTGGTCGGACCAGCAGAAACACACACACTAGGTTGTTTTGCATCGTGATCTATTTGCTTTCATGTGTTATATTTGCACTGCGTGTTACCAGGAAATCTCCGGTGACTGGTGGCTGCTCCACCCCGTTGAAGGAACACTGAGACGAGGAGCAGGTCTTGAAATCAAATATGGATTTCACTACTTTCCCACAGCCGTCTGAGTCGCCACCACCAAAGAAGATCAGCTCTTGATTGGGGTCGTAGTTTTGCGGTTTCTTTGTACACTGTGACTCAAAAATTGATGATGCCTTTTTGGAAGTATTGAAACCTTTAGGATAGCAGGGGTTTGTTATGTTTTTGGGGTTAGATGATTGCTGGAAAATAAAAAAAAAATAAAAAAAATTGTCAAAAGATAACGATTTTTTTAAGAAGAAGGCAAAATCTATAAATAAATAGGACAGAAAAAGACCCCAACCCTGAACTGGATAAGAGGAAAAAATGAATGGATGGATATTCGTTATGCCTTTACAGGCACATTATCTCCACACTGTAGGGCTTATTTCTTTAAATTATACAACACCGCATACAAAGTCTGAAGTAAACAGAAACTATAAGGTTAAGCTGTCATACCATCACTCTGATGCACTTTCAGCATATTTCTTGTAGAATCATTATTAGTTTCAAGAATGAAGCTATGAATTACCAGAAACGATGCATTTCTCCCAGACTAGCTTGACGACAATCACGGTTCGATCAATATTCTTAATGACATAATGCATCCCTGGATCCTTTGGCTGTTAGCAGCTCAGGGACAGCAGCGTTCACTAATCATTCCACAAATTGGCCATTAATGGATTTCGCAGTGCACATGTGTGCAAAGAGCCAGACGTTCCCACTGCACTTAAACGATAGCACAGTAACGCATAACAACCTAAGGAAAGAACCACCACTCTTGTAGTACCTTGGGAATATGAGAGTTCAGTGAAAGACACTATTTTTTTCTGTGCATACTCGTAGAAGAAACGGAGGACAAAGTCATTCACCTGCACTTCTTTCTCCAGAACCAACTTCCCAGCTTCATTTTTGCCATAGCAGAGGAAACTGTGTGTGTAGACATTGTAAGGGTAGCCATACAGTTTGACACGCAGGTAGTCTGCTCCCTTGAGATCATCCTGGACCGCAAAGGCAATCTGTGTTGATGCTCCTCCAAGATCCATGGAGCCGACAGTCTTTGCTCCCTGCGGCCGTACGTATGCGTTCCACACGTTTTTCTGCAAAAACAACGAAGATTAGTAAACGATGAAACGTACAATAGCAGATTTTTGAAGCTGCAATTATCTTGTTTTTTGGGCAATCGATCAGACAGGTGAAGGCTGTGTCATACCTCTACCAAGTTTCCCTTTAGGTAGTTGACAGTGATCCAGCCATAAAGCCCTTCTTCCTGCCCAGTGATGACTGAAGCATTTTGAAACATGAAGGGGAGGGAACTCAGGTATTGTCTGAGTTTTACCAGGACGTCATTGGCCCTCTGTGCATCTTTCATTCTTAACAGCACAGCAGAAAACAGAACTATTAGACATCACACTAGAAACAGACGTTGACAAATGGATTCACTATCATTAATGAAGCAGGTAAAGATTTTGCCAAATACACGTATTTTAGATGCTATTATTTGCTATTATTTTTATTTTAAACTCATCTAAGCCAGAAGTCATGACGGTAGGCTAGAAGGCTTGGCTCTGTTTTTTAAAATGAGATCAGTATCTCATTTTAAAAACACTAAGATGTGAAGATTTTTTTTAATGTTTCTGTCATTAACTGTTTTATGTGTGGGTTTTATTTATTTTTGGTTGTTTTGTTTTTGTCTTTCTGCTGTTTCTCTGAGCGTTGCACGGTCTGAGTTTGGGGTGCATTTGCTGGAAAGTCCACCGCTCAGAAGATTCGCGACTGTCTTAATAATTTCTCACTTGTGAATAATCGTTTTCACTGTACAATTGTAGATTTTATAATAAGATGTGTTTCCTGTTTGGCGTCGTGCCGACACAAAACTAAATGCTCTAAACCAATAAACTGCCAAAACATCTTCTTTTATCCATGTGCTCACACTTGCTGATGAGCAGTTAATCAGATGCATTTGATTCGCAGTGCCTGGAAGCAATGAGGAGTGTTCATCTATTTAAATAATGTTAGAGTCTGGAACAGATGTTATGTTTTTTAAATTATGCTAAAGAGGATGTCCTTTTTCACATGACTGTAAATCATTTCATGCAAACTAATCAACCTTTTTTTGTATGTTTGTTATACTTTAACAACAATATACTCTGTCCCCTACTTCTGCGTAGAAGGTCTGCTTTTGTCATCATCTTTCCTTGGGCTGGAAAGTATTAAAAGCCATATTTAATGCCGGGCCCAGAGTTCGACCCATGTGATTGAGATTCCTAAGTTTTGTCCTGCCCTTTAGTCTGAATGTGTTTTTATTGCTGGGGCTTCCCCAGGCATCCAGAGGGAGGGGGGTTATCCATCAGGCAAAAGGGGGGCAATATAAGACACAAAGCTTTACTGTGAAGCAGACCTCCCTTTTTGTCTCTTGAATGCTTGCACAGCAAAATCGGCATCCATAATTCAGCACCAATGAAGTTGAATGGACGTTCTTAAACTCAATCCACAGCACATATTTGAAAGTATTAAATACATCACTTTAAGAACATTTCTGCATCTCTGTCTTGATATTCTCATCTTTAAAAATCATACATTGTACCCATTAAAAATTCCCACCACACACACACACACAAAGTCACAGATCTAAATATTATACTTTTTAAGAATGTATTTGTATTCATTATGTCTTGCAGTTCTTCAGTCATCAGCTTACTCCTCTGTGCATGAAAGGTCAAGAAAAGCTTAAAATGAATTAATATAAAAAAATCACTTTTGACACTTCAATAATAATATAAGTAATCAAAAGCTTCTTACTGCAGGAGTCTCATTCCAGCTGTAGCTCCGAGAAACAGGCGCGTACTGTTGTGTTTTGTTGGAGGAATGGTTTTAGTGACGATGTCCATGCATTTCCTAAATCCTGCCATTGTCTTTTCTTCGATCTCGGGGATAACCTTCATGTCGGAGATGGCATTACCTGAGGACACAAATCCAAGCTAAAATTCTCGTGTGTCTAGTAACCAGAATGTCTCCAATTTAAAACACACTCTTTATGTTTTTTCTTTTGTTTGCAAAAGCCTAAAAAGAGTTTGCCAGCACCCCCCCCCCACCCCTGTCTTTGTTATATGTGACTCACCATCAACTTTACAGTTTAATGTTTCAGTCACTATTCCTGTTTCGTTCTCCTTCGCTCCTGGCCATTCATACAGGTATACATTGGAACGAGATGAGCCAGCGTCTATCACTATGCCGTACTAACAGGAAGAAGGAAGACAAAAATGTTATTGCACAAGCATTTTCCAATCAGCCTAGCAGGTTGCTGTTTATTAAGCACAGAGTAGCCACCGTGCCTTTCATCAGGCCTCTGTGTGAAAGATGTTGCATAACAGCAGTAAAAACCTATTTTCTTTATGGAGATATAGTGGGGTAACGGTATCCTTAGCAGAAAAGAAAGTCTCAAATTAGAGAATTGTGAGAACTGCAAAAGTAAAAAACCACTGGCACACTCCTGATGAAAAAGCATACACACATACACAAAAAGAAAACTGACAAACACGCAAAACGGCAACTGAAAGTCATCACAATGAGTTTTTTTCCTCTTTTTTTTTTTAGCCCTTGTTTCAAAAAGCTTTCAGTTCTAATTAAAAGGAAAAGGGGAAACAGCAGACGGACAACATGCCTGTTTGTTTGAATGCCATTAACAGTACACGCAAAGTTAAACGTGTTTCATCAGAACCGCCACTCATCAGCAAGCAGACCGATGAGGAATCCTCTGATCCTTCGGTGCAGTTTTTATGCGTTGTCTTTATAACAGCATGCGTATTTATATTTGCATCCTGGAGTATTGCGCTGATGCGCGTATGTGCTCACCTCTTTGCTGTATTCTAAAAACCTCCAAGTGTCCTGGATAACAGCAACAGCAACGAGGGCAGCGATGCTGGTCAAGAGGAGAAGCATCACTCCTGCTATCCGACACTTGTAGCCCATCTTGTGTTTGGAAGCCATTTCCTGTTGGCAAGAAATAGGGTTAAAGAAGATGTGTGGTTCTCACTAAAAGCATCTTTCAAGGTGAAGATGTGCAGATGTTTAAAAAAGTCACGATGAGCCATAACAGTGACCAGGACTGCTACAGATGAGTAAGTGCTCGCAAGCCAAACGGATGCTTAACCAAATCCAAATCAGAGGGAGGTTGTTCAATCAGAAGAACTCTTTTAGGGAGAAAGTGCTAAAATGCAAAAAAACAAAACGAAAACATTTCTGTTTGTTGTTTTTTGTTTGTTTTTTGGCTACGATTACACATCACACACAGGCATGCAACATGAAATGCAGCTTTTTTTCATGTGTGCATAGATGGGCTACACACAATTTAAACCTTTAAAGCTACTCTCATAAACATTGTGCAATATATATCACAATCTATATTCATCACTTTGCAAGGACTCATTAAATTCAAAAACATCCATGAAGTTTACTGACGGATGAATATGCCAGTTGATATGAATACTCTTTGTTATTCAATCAATAATCAATTCTAATCATGTTATTTAGATTTGCTGAAACTGCCACACCACACTATTCTGCTCATGTTATGTTCCCGTGTGATTGCATCACTGTTATTGCAGCGATTTGTCAGTATACAGCCGTTAGGTAATTCTCCCTCAGCCATGCCAAAACTGTCCTCACCAGACTGACAACCACTTTGCGGATTAGGTGGAACCCTAGTTCTGTGTCTCTCTTGTTTATTGTCCATTTAAGCTTCATAAATCCAGGAATAAAATTTGCTATCTGACTCCTCTTTTATAGGCAATAACAACAATGACAAAACCAGTGTTTGTTAATCTATGAATAACTCTTAAGTTGCCACAGCAACTTCTGTAGAAACAAGCAGGCTAAAGGTGCTCGACAAGGTGCAATCACAACTGGCTGACATGGCAACAAGCGAGTTTAATGTTTCTGATACATGTTGCCCGCAAGGTGCTTGACATTTCGAAGCCATGTGTGCAATACACATCCTAGACTTTCACTTTTGAATGTCTCTTCTTTATAACCCCGTGCTTAACATTTCCCGGAGCTGTTTCCAACACAAAGAAAATAAAGTGTCAGCCAGCACATGAAGAGAAATAGCAACCAATCTGTTTTTGCTGTGTCTATGTTGCATTCACTACAAGGTATGTTTCTGTAACTACATGAGATTATATCCAATCAACCTGCCAAGACAAACACAGTACAAGTTCTTACACTCCAAGCAGCTCACAATGAAAACAAACATAAGGAGGCATGAGTGACGGTGTGTCTGAGGATGGAATAGAAAACAAATAATTCTATAAAGTAATAATGCGTGTAAGTGCATAATACTGCTAATTTGCAGTTAAGGAACAATGTGTCTTTTGAGCCACTGGTAATGTGAGCTCACTCATCTCTGGCTTTACGGGCTATCATCGCAATGAGCCGGGCTTAAAAACTAAACTGTATTTAAGGTTGTGGGTGATTTTAGTAGCACTGAGACAAACACTTCCTCCCTGTAAAGTAAATTTTGGTTTCAGTTCTTTCCCACTGCTTTCTCACCTTTTTTTTTTTTTTTTTTTTACATGCACAGTTGTTACTTGTGGTTTTTAGTAGCATTAATAAGCTTGACATATTACATATTTACACTGCAGTGCATCTCAGATTTGCTGGATGTAAAGTTTCACACAGTGGAGAAACAACAAGATTAGGCAAACAGCACAGTTACTTATAGTTTGTTATTGTAAATGAACCGCCTTTTGGGTTTGTAATACAAAGACTTACTGAATACATTAATTGCACTTGACTTGCACCTATTTTACTTTATATGTCAATAGTTTTCTAAAGCTTAATTGTGAAGTTACTTGAATTTTTTTTTACTATCACCTGAATAGAAATGCATGGTCCTTATAGGATTTTGAGTTGGCAGTTGCAAAACTACACAATATCTATAAAATACTCAATGTGATATTACTGGTTCTGCAGTTTACTTAAAATTCAGCCAGGTGAATCAACAAGTCATATCGACTCAGTAAAAAATCAGCCATGTGTCGCTGGGAGTCAAATAACTTGAGCTATCTCCCCTGCTTGTAAGGACAGGTTCTTATGGTGGTGAGGAGTGGATAGAAGCAAATGTGTCTCGTCACACTCGGTACAGTAAAACTAACTTGCCAGTGTTGATTAACCCTTTGATCATGTCTAAATACCTGTTGTGTTCAAAGGTTTAAAAAATAAATGCATGTGAGGAAATGTTTTGTTTCTTACCTTCTAGAGCTGATTTTTAGAGCCTCGTTGAGAATAAGAGAGAGATGGTTCTGACGAAGGGATGTTGATCTAAAGCAGGAAAAGTGGTTGCAGCAAATCAAGAGAGAGAGAGGAACAGAGAGAGAGAGAGAGAGAGAGAAGGTGCTCTGAGTGCTCTCAAGAGTGACTGGCCCACAAGAACAGGAGTGGCGTACCCCAACATAAGTCACAGTGCGGGGAGGAGCATTGTGTGCAGGACTCCAGTTTTTGCCACTCCCAACGCACCAGTGCAACAAAGCAGCCAGCCTACGAAACACAGCTGCTCCTTGCTCATTGCCTGCATCTGGTGATTAAAACAGATACAAGTATTTGTGAGTATGAACAATGTGAGAAGATGGGGCTGGAGCTGGGATGCTAATTGATGTGATCAATAAGAGAGACTGCAGTGTGGCTGAGGGTCTGCTGTGGAACTTACTATACATTCAGGTGTTATTTAATAGGAGTAAATTATGAGGCAATGGAGGCTATGAAAAGCAAAGGCTTAAGTGCTGTATCAACAATCAAGGATTTGTTGATAGCTGCACGGGATGCCAGCGTTCTCACAGACAAAACTCTGAGTCATTTGTGTGACAAACATGAGTCATTAATTTCTCTGAAACAGTGCTGATGGACGAATGGGAACCTGAGCTTTTATTGCAGCATATTTGTTTGTTTTTTATGGGAAGACAGCAGAGAGTTAAAAGCATACTTTTAACGGTGTGTGCATTGCTCCTACTGCTGAACATTTTTGTAAGGGCTCATATGTTAGGAGTTTTGCAGCACTATCTGGAAACATGAGAAATGCTTTTCCAGACTGATACAGACTGATGTATGTGCATCAGTCTGTATAATATCAGTTAAGGAGTGGAGATACTGTCAGAATGCATCTGTCTCCATGCCCAGCCTACTGTAATGACCAAAACACCAGTTAATGCAATATTCCCAAATAATGCTGAGAAGTCAGACACCACTGCATTCTGCTGCTATTTTAAGTATTTTCTATGGTACCCACCCACCAACCCATTTGTTACCTGTAATACAATTTCATCAGGTTACCTTATGTTTTATGTTGGCAGACAACAAATGGTTCCATTGCATTGGAAGTGGTTACTTTGTTATAATACTGTGACATACTATGACATGGCCTCCTCACATGGGTGCCAGCGTCTGGATCTGCTAGCTTTGTTTATTGTCCTGGCATCTTAATAGAAGTTATTACAGTGGTCTGAGTTGTTGAGTTATTCAAAGGTTCAAAGGTATTTCAGATCATTGTCCCACAACAGCAGGACTCCTTCAGGACTTTAAGGTAAAGAGCAGAATTTATGGTTCCACTATACCAGGTCCTGAAGCAGCAAAGCAACCCCAGACCATCACGCTACCACCAACATGTTTGACTGTTGGGTTTTTTTGTGTGTGAAACATTGTGTTAGTTTTCTCCATTTGTGGATAATGTCACTCACCACCATTCACTGGAATCCCAGACCCTTTTAAAATGCTTTGTAACCTTATCCAGCCTGATATATGTCAAGTTCTTTTAGATCGTGGCATGACGTGTTGCTTTTTGAAATCTTTTAGCCTACTTCACTTTGTCAGATAGGTTCTATTTAAGTGGTTTAATCCAGCATGTGTGGCATTAATTAGTCCTGGGTTTATCTTGTCAATTTCATCAACATGATAAAGTCACAAGTGTTCAAGATGCAGTCATGAAACTTCTCAGATGTGTAGTAAACACTGAAATGAAGACCCAGCTCAAAGAACATTGATACTGTGGTCTCTCTTCGTGACTGTAAATTTGCAGCAGCCTTTGTTTTTTTAACCACTGAATCTGTTGCCTTTTTAACACCAGCACTGGCTTCTGGGTTGTCTACAAAGGAGACACTAGTGGTGTCAGTGAAAGTGAATTACATGTCTGATTCAATGGGCAGTGAATGTATATAAAGTATTTTTGTTGCCTAACGTGAGACCTGAAACCTACTGGCCTGAATTAACCGGAAGAACAGGAAGCTTAAAATTAGATTAGCACCAAGAGATGAAAGAGAAGAAGCAAGTATCTTACAGAAAGATTGCATACTTTCTCATAGAGGTAGTACTGCAATACTTCTGTTAAAATGCATGCTCTTTCCAGCTTTGCTGCTTTGCACATGGGTTGTATGGGTTTAGACTGTCTCTGCAAGACAGACTAAACAAGTTTGCACCCACATGTCTTCTCTTGTGTAAGGAAACATGTGAACACAGTGATTTCCTCTTTAATGCAGAAGAAAGCAAATAAAGCAACTCATAGTGAAGAATATATGTATATGAGTACATATTTTGTGGTGATTTGGGAAGAATTTAGTAATCATCTTCAATATGTTGCATGTTTTATTTCATCCTAAGAAAATACTGAGTTTCTGCTGTCTGCACAACTAAAAACAAAGTGGAAGTTCCGTCATCCTCAGATAATTACCAATTCAGCATCAGTGCTGTTTATAGTCTACTCGGATTTATAGAGCCACCAAGACATATTCTCACTAATTGTTTATGTCTCTTTCAGTGCTTTTAAAATACATTAAACACCCTGATGAATCTCTACTGCAGGTCACTGGGCAGCAGAGAGAGGTTTAGAAGCTCTTAATGCATCGTTGATAAATTAGCTTGACAGACCCATACTTGCATGCATATGCTGCACATAATGACAGCATTATGTGGTGTCAACTTATCAGATAATTACACCTCATGCCTCTAATGTATGGGTGTAGGAGGCTGGTCCACTTTAAACCCTGCTGCCTCCATTTCCCTTCACGCACCCTTCAGCCACTCCCACCACATCGCCCCATCTACCTAACTATTTCAACAGGGCTGACTCTCACAGGGAGCCGCTGTGTGAAACACTGTACACAACCCTCTTCCCCACCACTGCTTGACAGAAAGTAGTCCCCAGACTAGCTCAGGACAAACCCATATCTCTTACATGTCAAAGCTGTGTACCACTCAGCACGCTGCAATTGAATTATCAAAAAGGAAACTCTTATCCTTGTAGAATTACAGATATCAGAGTTAACAGCAATCAGTGCACATTTCAACATGGGGCAAATATGCTGGCCATGTAATGGGATCTCTGTGGTCTCAAACGCATTGTGATTTGAGATTCAGTTACGTGCTGATGGCTAGTAGATTATAATGTTTTCCCATCTGATCCCTCCCAAGTGAAACAGCATCTTGGGCATGCTTTCAGGAAAAACCTCACATACCAGATATTTGAAGGCTGCTGAGCCTAGTGGGCTGACAGCATGTGTTGGACTGGACGAGTCCAACACATCAGGGCTCAAATATGCATTTTCAATATGAGATTATATATTTGTAGTTTTCTGTTCTGATCTATTTCTATCTGTTCAAATCATTATGCACTGCAATATAAATGTGCTTTGCTCATGTTTTGGCAGTACTGTGAAGATTCATGTTTGTACCTAGTTTGGAACAAAGCATAGGTTTCACATCACAAGTTCAACTTTGCAGCTAAGAATAGATGCTAGAAAAACACCTTTCACAGGTCCTGCCCTCCCTGTCTTTATGTATCTCCCACCTTTGCAATTACCTGCTCTGCCCCAGTGTGTTGCACCTGTGAGTAATTCCCTTCCCTTGTATTCAAAATGTGTTTTTTGCCTGTCCTTTGTCAGCTCGCTTTTGTTTATGTATGCACTTCAGTAATACTGCTCTTGCATTGGATTTCCCACGCACCTAACCCTGTTTTGCCTTTTGGCTTTTGCCTCTGCTTGTTCCAGGTTTTGTCTGCTTTGATCACGGGTTGATCACCTGTGGAACAAACTGTGCTTTACCTCAGTGAAGTGGTGAACTCTCATGTGGTCTCTCATACATTTCAGTTCTGTGTTGTTACAACAGGAATGCTGGTTAGATAAAAAAAAAGAAGGCTGATCTTTTACTATCTCTTTGAGACTTATTGAATTCACCGCTGTTTCTACGCTCACTCTTTTATTTCTTTTTTATCAACCAATCACACCCTGTGAAAGAATGCATCATACCAAGGTTACCAAGCACCTAAGATAAAAGTTTCCACCCCGTCTAAGATTCCTTCCATGAAAATGTTTGCACTCTGACAGGATTCTCTACTGTCCAGAAAACAACGGAAATGAGCGCAGACACCAGAGGGACAAATAAACAAAAGACCGATACATATGTGATTGCAATGCTGTATAGTTGCACAGAGCCTAGAAAACTGTGATATGCAGTGAAGTTAGTTCTTTTTCTGGACTGAAGCAGTACTGGGGATCTTATGCTAAGTTAGAGGAAAAACACCAATACTTTAGATCATTTATTTTAAATAAAACTGCTGTTCCTCAAATGTTACTGAATTCAACTGAAAGACTTTCTTTGAAACTTTTAATAGAGATTTCGTAGCGTATGTCCCTGAGATAAATTCTTGGGAATACTTTAGTGGTTTTCTGCCTTTGGCCACTTAATATCTGTGCAATCAAAAGTCACTCTGTGCATGTTCACATTCATGTTCAACTGAAGACAAAGAAACGTTTTTAGAGACTTTTCCCTGTTAAAAGACTTTTTCATGAGCAGAGAGTGGAAATTGATTCATAAAATCGAAGTCTTGATTGAAATACGGTAGATTATGTATAAAAATTCCTGAACAGCTGATCAAATACTTTTGTGAGAAGCTTTAAATTAAAGCTGAAAGTCTGCATTTGAATCACATGATGTTTGTTAGATTTAAAATCCTCTGTACAGCAACAACATTACAAAACAAAGTGCCACTGTCCAAAACTGGACCAGAGACAAGTTATTTCTCTTTGATGAAATAACTTGTCTCTGCTTTATTTGGATTAAAGGTTAATGTCAGATAGCTTTTGAGCTGTCTGTAATACAACCTAATAATATTACACTAATGTTACCCCCCTTTGCCTCGCCCTGCTTTCTTCTCTTTCAGGCTCTCATTTGCATCCTACTGGAGCAGATGGCAGACTCTCCTTGATCCTGGTCCTGCCTGAGATTCCTTCCTGTTAAAAGGGAGTTTTTCCTTCCCACTATGACCGAGTGTTTGCTCATTGTCAGTTGTCTGCTTGTTGAGTCTTGCAATATAAAGTACCCTGAGGCAACAATTACTGTGACTTACCGCAATATAAAAAAAACTAAATTGAATTTAACTACAGAGTACACACATAAGATTGAAGTCAGTTTACTATGCATTGAATATTTCTGATTATAAGCTTGATTATTATAATATGGAATCAACATTTCTCAGTGCTGGATTGTTCTCATTTTAAGGTAAGCATTATTTAAAGATGTTACCATACTAGTATTCAATTAAATTCAATTAAATGTTATTTATATAGGGCTAAATTACAACAGCAGTCACCTTAAGGTGCTTCATATTGTAAGAAAAGGGCCTAACAATAATGGAGAGAAACCCCCAACAATCAGACAACTCCCTTTGGTCAAGCACCTCGTAGTGTGGAGGAAAATCTCCCTTTGAACAGGAAGAAACCTCCAGCAGAACCAGGCTCAGGGACAGGCAGCCATCTATTAGGACTGGTGCTGAGCAAAGAAGAAAACCAAGTGTCCAGTCTTTCTCCCAGATCCAACCTGGGAGCTATTTCCACAGAAGAAGAACCTAAAAGCTGAAGGCTCTACAACATTTTTAAACCATTACTCCTGTGTAGCTGTCAGAAATACTGATCATGTGTCTGTTGGCATCTCCTTGTGGCCAAACTGCAAAATGCATGTCCAGAAACATTTGTAATGCTTGAAGCAAAACTCTCTCTTTTTTTTTTTTACACATGTACACTCAGGAGGAGCAGCAATAAAGCTGCCAGCAAAATTATTGTAAAATCCCCAACTAAGAGTCAGTAAAATATGTGCTTCCATCCCCTTCACCCCAAGTGCTCAAATAAATGTTTAATTATAATTGCAAGGCCTTGTAAAAGCATCTGAGGACTGAGACAATCACTCAGACAAGTCAGCAACTGTGATAACATAAAAGCAGCCTACAAAGGATTTCAAAGAAGAACGCAATCTTTGCTTTTATCTCAGTATGAAGTAGATTCGAGCCTGATTTTCCCCCTTCAATATTTAAGATGATCACTTCATTACCAGGGGAACGACATTTTCTGTTAAACTGACACAATGATAACAAATAAAAATGCTGATTAAAGTAAAGAAGTAAAAGTAAAGAATTAATAAATAATTCACTGAAGACAAAAGATTATTCATAAAAAAAATTCTTTGCATTATCCTCTCTGTAGATAAAGAGTTAACATTTCACTCAAGTCAAGTGAGTGCCTGGTGGAAGCACATTTTTTATTCATAAAGTCTATACAGGTGAAGTTCTCTATTGTAAGCACTAGAAGTAAGACCTCTCAAGTAGCATTGTTATGTCTCGTGTCTCCTATCATCATGATTTACAATTTTAACTGAACAGACAGACCATGTGACCTTTTTCTCTTTGGCATTTTCCAAAGCAGCCGTATCATTTTTAAAGAGAAGTCTTCCTCTACAACTGTTGCTGTGTCATAGTTGCCTGTAGAATTTATATTTATATTTTTGAAGCAAGCAAATGAACTGGCCAATAATACTGACGAGTAATCAGGGACTAAGAAGTAACATCTAATACTGAATCCTCATTTGTATTTATAGAAGGCCGGCCTTTGTCCTCAGGGATTAAGATGCTCAGAGGAGGCTGATTTGCAAGACATGCTGTTTGTGTGTGTGTGTGTGTGTGTGTGTGTGTGCTGAGCAACAACAACAGTGCCATTTCTGGACTGCTGGCAGGTCAGTTTATCCACTCACTCTTTTCATGGCATTTGGAATACCTGCAGAACATTGCTCGGCATTGTCCTGTTACCTTCCCTAGCTTACCTTCCCTAAAGAAGACGTCACCTGGAGGGCAGCATGTATTGCTCCTAAAGCTGTATATATAAGTTAGTATAGTCACACATGTGCATGTTATCCATGTCATGTGCCAAAATGCGCCCCATACCATCAAAAAAAGCAGATTGTATTTTAAACCTTGAAAGAGGATTGAAAAGTGACACCATGCAGACTACAGCAGACTTTATTCAAAGAAACCACATCACTCCATGCAGCACAGTCTAGCCAATGAGGAAACACTTGGGTCGGACACCGCCACTGACGTTAGCACAATCATCTGAAATTACAGCAATGCGTGATGATGCTAGAGCACAGATTTCTAAATCCCCTAAAGGGCAGGTGTAAAGGATCAGGTTAGTGCAAAACTATAATGGTTTGGCAGGGGATGTAGTTACATTTGATCATTATGAAAATTTATCTGAGTTCTCCAGGTTTTAAAAATATATAACAGGACAGTAAAGTGTGGAATCTAAAGCATCCTATATTTCTGGTACATTCAAATCAAAGACAAATGCCAAATCAGTGATGCAGAGAAAAAAGTGAGCAAATATTTAATAAATTTGCATAATTTAGGTTTTAAACTTTCATCTTAATATTTTTTTTTCTGTCTGAGCACAGAAATGTAATGAAATTTAGTTTATTTGAATGTACGAAAAAGTCCCAAAGGAGCATAATTTCACTTTAAGCCCACTGAGAGTGACTGAGTGATTGTCTTGTACTGCTGTTGGGGAATACTGGCCAGCTGTCATAAGACACAACATGAATCAATAACATATAATCAGTCCTAATCTGCCATTGTATATTAAAAAAATACTACTTTTGCAAATTAGTTAATAAATAACTTAATCACTAGGATATTATATTAGAAATCTTTAGCCTGACACTTCATGAAGCCCTCCATGTATCACGCATATATTCATTTGGAAGCAGTTTCTGACTGAGCACCTAAAAAAAAAATAGTTGCAGACAAACACTGAGTCAGAAATTCACAAAGTGCGCAATACATTCTTTGCAAAACTCAAAAAATAATTTAGCCTCAATTCAACCACACAAAACACTGAATTTACCCCCAAACAAGTTTTACACACAGAAGACACAGAAGCGGCATAGACAAGTGCACTGTGACGTGGACAATAACGTGATTAGTGATCCGTGAGACACAACGTGGAGTCAACAGAGGGAGAAAATGCAGATATAAAATGTTATTTTTGGAAGTCTACATATGTTTTTGTCATAATTAGTAGCTACATAAATATACAATAATTTGCGACAATGTAATATTTACCACTGTTAACTCGACTGGATTCTTTGCTGCAGACAGAAGGAGAACGGCCTGTTAGACAAATTACTCCACATTCCCTTTATGACATTTTACATCTGCAAAACTCCATCAAACGTCAGTCACAACTTTGGTTATCATTCAGGGATCGGAGTGGACGACCCCTTTTCCAGCATTTTTTTTTTAATGACTGGCCTCCTGCAGAAGCTCAAATGTCAGCTGCGTGATGTGCTGCCATGCTTGCTGGATGTGATGTGACTCAGTAGTGCGTGCACAGATGGCAAAGCGCAGGACAAAGCGGCCTGAGAGCTGACAAGGCACCAGATGGATCTCTCTGCTCTTGGTGATCCTTTTCAGCAACTCTTGGTTCAGTTCATTGGAGCCCTGAGAGGAGAAAGCAAGGAAGAATTACACCAGCTAGGCTTTGTGTCACGACTACTTAATAATTAGGTGACTGGATTAAAGTAATCACAGTCTTGACAGTCAAATTCCCATAGACAGGGAGCTCTGATATGTATTTTCTAGCTTTTCTAAATAATGCCCTCGGTGTTATTGAACCTTTGAGGTTTCTAGGTGACTTTTTGTGACCACTGCAGAGATCAGATCATAGAGCTGTACCGTTGGGTGCTGTTACCTTGAGCCTGAAGCAGACCAGTCCCAGGACAACTTCAGCACAGATCTCAAACCTCTTGTCGGCTCGCACCAGACTCTCAAACTCCTTGGCCAGGGCCACTTGCTGTAACATAGGATGTGAATTATTCATAAATATTTCATGAAATGTAAAAGATTTATTGTACATGCAAATAAAAGTGAAGTTTTTTTAAAACACTAATTTTTTAAGCATTTGCTTTAAAAAAAATCCTTCACCTGCAAACAATATTAGCTGTAATTGGCATTATTTTCCACTAGATGCCAGTGTGGTTTGTTACATAGCCTCGCGCTTTAGGATTGGAAGACTTTTTTCTTGTCATTCTTCATTAAAACCTTTCTTTTTTCTTAGAGCATCACTGCTTACTGTGAAGTAAATGCATTCATCTGATTAAACAAGCATGCAGTGTGATATTTCACATTTTAGAAGAGACAATTCCTGGTGAGCTCAAATCAGACAAGTTCAAAATTTGTACTCAGCACCCATGAAATGGCCTTTATCAAAGTCTGCTCTGAAAATGTCATCTTCCTCATACTGATTTTTCTAAACATGGTACTTATCAAAGATGTTCCTAAAGTACAATTTATCCACTTAAGATCAAAGACTCTGCTGATGCATGCTGAAACGTGCGACAATGCAGTTATCCCGGTTATATCGTTGAGCTTCCACTCAACTTTTCCAACTGGTAAATAAAGCCAAACCTCTGGCATAAATGGCCAACAATTGGTTGACTGTGATCTTGTTTCTTAAGTCCCAGCAGATAATACAGTATCACTGTATTTGATTACAAGCTAAACTCCAGTGACCTCACTTCCTGTCCTACTGCTGACTGTATGCCAGGCAGAACTTTTCATACATATTATTCATATTTTGCGGTTTCAGATGGCTGCAGGGATCGATTCTGCTCCTGTCACTTTACTTGAAATGGAGCGTAAACACAAAACAGGCTGATTTGATTGACAGAGCAGACTGGAAGAAGAGAGAGCGAGTCAGACAGGGGTCATGCATCAAAAAGAAAAGATGAAAAGAAAAGGCATGTGCAGGGTTGGGAAAGGAAATGTAGTTTTAAATAGAAGATACATGCCAGACATATATGACTGCAGGGCTAATTATGCCGATGAAGAGATAGAAGAGGAGGGAGGGCAATGGCAGGACATTAGTGGTAAGGAGGATTAGGAGCAAAGAGTTCTAGGAAGCAGGAAGGCGAAGGCATTTCCCATAAAGGCATATATGATTTCCTGAAGTGTTTTTTTTTTCTTTTGGAAGTGACTGAGATGTAGAGAAGTGGTGTGTGACAGATAAATGGAGGTGAAACAGCAAAGTGAGACTGATACCACTGGCACCACTGTTGGTACAAGGTTAATCTTTTTACTACATGGAGGATAAGAAACGCAGGTTAGCAGGGTTACAAAGCCTGAATTAGCACTAACACACTGCTACTTCTTAAAGTAATTGATCTGTTATTTACATCAGCTCTCACACATTATGGGGAATAATTGTCAGTAATCCCTGCACAGCTAAATGAATGGAATATGTGAAATCCATCCATGCTCTTCTGCTTTAGGGTCACGGGGGTGCTGCAGCCTATCCCACCTGTCATAGGGTGAGAACCTGGAGAAAAACAACACCGGAGAAAATATGCAAACTCCTGGATTCAGACCCAGAACCTTCCTGCTGTAAGGTGACAGTGCTGACCACAGCACCACTGCACCATCCACATATGAAAGCATATATTTGAATAACCTCAAATTTAATGTGTAACAGGCAAATAAATGATCCTATTACTTCAAATTTTGACCACAAATGCCACAAATTTGAAGAAACCCTTCACATCCCCAGGAACAGGTACATTTGCCGATGCTGAGTGAGAAATCATTTTCCTGCGTGTTTACCTTGCGTATATGAGCTTGCAGACCTTTGAGCCCATACATGCGAAAGACAAACCACATCTTCAGTGAGCGAAATCTCCTTCCCAGTGGGATCTGCCAGTGCTGCAGGCCAGAATTGGATAAGGAGAGAAGTTATTACCACAATGTTCAAATCATGATTATTAATCATGATAATAATTCATCTTACCCGATAATCTGTGACCAGTCCTGTTGATAGAAAAACAGATAATGTTGTCCATTACATGTGCACAGTCTTAATTTTAAATAAAACCCCTTTAAACTACTCGTGTCAGCCAGCCTGCTTCCTGGTTAATAAGAATCGTAAGTGCAGTCAGTGCATTTTGAATCACAGACTAAACGCGTTTTGCACAAACAGAATAGGCGAAAATGGCATTTTATAAGATTATAAGATTTTATAAGATACAAGATCTATATTTTCTGAATGTAAAGCAACACACCACAGATTACAACTTGCATCGACTTAACAAAGCTCCAACATTAAAACAACCCTTTTAAATTCAAAATGTATCTTCTATAACAGCTGCTTTTTGCTATTATCTTAGCATACTGTTGATTGTCCAGGTGTTGCTGTCACTGCGCTCAGCGCCTCTATCTCACTAATCACAGGTAGCTCATCTCTGCAGAATAGATGTCTGTGTTAGCCTGGACTAATAACCACTAATTAGATTGAAGAGTCCAGAGTGCATGAGCATACGCTTTTGTAAGGTGCTTCACAGTGGTGGGAGGCACTGCAGCTCTCAGTCTTTCTGTCTGCTTGACAAGTAAATTACAGTGAAAATCTGAGACCATCTGCAGGCTATAGGAGAATTTGCACAGACACACAAAGTAGAAGCAGACAAAATAGTTGTATAGGAAATTCCCTGATTATATCTTTATAGTTTTTGTTTTTATTCAAGTCTCCAAGACAGGACAATAGTTTACCAATGGAATTGGACATAAATACTGTCGACTTCTAAAAGGATATCAGTGAAAACTATAACTACCTGATTCCTGGTTTTCATGTTTCAGGTAAAGTGGTTCCATTTTAAAGGCTCCAATGATGTCTGCTCTCTCCTTCACCCTGTGGACAAAAACGTCTTAATATGGCATTAAGCTCTAAGAAAAATGTCCAAAAATGTAAAATCAAAATTGAGTGTTTTACTTTATTCGTGTGGGTTAGCCACGAAAGATTTTTAGGAAAATTCCACCTCTTTTCAACCAATGAGTTGCAAAGTGAATATATGGTATAGAAATAATATTTAAACACTTTATTAAAACTTAATAAATGACCTTTTGGCTTTAGACCTGTATTTTTAAGGAAATCAGCATATGCTTTATGAAACAGGCTAGTCTGCTCTAGTTTTTGCATAGTTTGGAAATGAGTTATGGTTCATTATCTGTAGGAGGAAACTGTCTCCAGTTGAGCAGTTTCAGAGTACAGGATGGTACCGTGATGTGATCAATTTCCTTCTGCTATCATATTTTCTCTTTCAATCTTATTAAGTGAATTTCTCAAGCATTTATCCATTTATTTTATTTTGTGTTGTAAAAAAAAAAACCCCATAACATCTAATATTAATATTTTCATTTGTAACTTCAACATCCTGATAATGCCTGTCGGCCTGTTGTTTTGCTGTTATGATTTAGTGAGACTGAGAATTTAAGACCTGTGTCTGTTTTTGAAACATGAGACTCTGATGCACTTGTCCAGTTGCTCCGCTGTGCACCTGAATGTCCCACTTCTCCTTCTATTCTGGTTAGAGGCAGGTCCTCAGTTTTATTTAGACATCACTGTCTGGCATCTTAATGTGTTGATATAATTGACAAAATTCATTAGACTATTCATCTGGAGAATAAGTGCTACTAGAATGCTGAAGTGATAGTTACTGAAAAAAACCTGTATTTCTACACACTTACACTTAATTATATCCATTTTTATATAATAATAATAATAATAATAATAATAATAATAATATTTACCTATATATTCTATACCCAAATGTGAGCCAGCACACTGGACTTCTCTGAAAATGAAGAAATTGATCAAGCATAACATTTGATCACTATTTTTTTTCTTCAGGAATTCTAGTGAATAACTAAAAAAATATATGTATAATGTGATTTCCTATTTTTCATCTATTATTAAAATAGTTCATTTGAAAATTCATGGATAACAACATTATCTATATTGAATAGAAAAAATATAATTGTGATTAAAGTGCTTGTTCATACTGGTAGATTAACCATTACAGAAACAGTGGTAATTACCACTGCTGTGTATTTAGGGGAGCTTTGTGATCGGGTGGTTTGCACATTTGTTTAGCACCAGAAATCCCAAATTTTTTCACCACCATGTAAAATGCTCCTATTAGCCCATACTTGACTTGTTCGTCCTCCAGATAAGCAGTTTACTGTACAGGATGGGCCATTTATATGGATACACCGTAATAACATTGGAATGGTTGGTGATATTAAAGTCCTGTTTGTGGCACATTAGTATATGTGAGGGGGCAAACTCCTCCAGATGGGTGGTGACCATGGTGGCCATTTAGAAGTCGCCATCTTGGATACAACTTTTGTTTTTTCAATAGGAAGAGGGCCATGTGACACATCAAACTTATTGGTAATGTCACGAGAAAAACAATGGTGTGCTTGGTTTCAACATAACGTTATTCTTTCATGAGTTATTTACAAGTTTCTCTTTGTTCACAGCCATTGACATGTCGAAGAGGTTAACACATGAGGAGCGGATCGAAATTGTGTTGATATCTGGTGAACGCAGTAACCGGGTCATTGCAGCAGATTTCAATGCACAGAATTTGCAGAATGGGCAAAACAAAAATTGGAACAGGACGCTCAGTTCACGCAGAAGATTTTGTTCAGAGATGAGGCAAACTTTTATGTGAATGGTGAAGTTAACAAACAAAACCACCGCTATTGGTCTGACACTAACCCACATTGGATGGATCCCTCCAAGACTGTTGGAACAACAAAAGTGATGGTTTGGTGTGGTATATGGGGTACAATGATAGTGGGTCCATTCTTAATCAATGGTAACCTCAAGGCCACTGGATATTTGAACTTGCTACATGATGATGCGTTTCCCTCTTTATGCCCGGAAGCCTGCATGTTCCCTGAGTTTTTTCAGCAAGATGGTGCACCACCACATTATGGGTCCAGGTCCGAGCATTCCTAGATGAACAGTTTCCTGGAAAGTGGATTGGTCATCGTGGGCCAGTTGAATGGCCCCCAAGGTCTCCCGATCTGACCCCCTTAGACTTTTATCTTTGGGGTCATCTGAAGGCAATTGTCTATGGCGTGAAGATACGAGATGTGCAGCACTTGAAACTACGGATACTGGATGCCTGTGCTGGCATTTCTCCTGCGGTGTTGCTATCAGTGTGTGAAGAGTGGGAGAAGAGGGTTGCATTGACAATCCAACACAATGGGCAGCACATTGAACACATGTTATAAGTGGTCAGAAACTTTTAAGAAAGAATAAAGTTATGTTGAAACCAAGCACACCATTGTTTTTCTTGTGACATTACCAATAAGTTTGATGTGTCACATGGCCCTCTTCCTATTGAAAAAACAAAAGTTGTATCCAAGATGGCCGACTTCTAAATGGCCACCATGGTCACCACCCATCTTGAGGAGTTTGCCCCCTCACATATACTAATGTGCCACAAACAGGACTTTAATATCACCAACCATTCAATTTTATTACAGTGTATCCATTAGACCCCATTTCTACAAAACTGCTCAAAGAAGTCCTGCCATTAATTAATGCTTCAATCTTAGATATGATCAACCTATCTCTAATAATCGGCTATGTACCACAGGCCTTCAAGGTGGCTGTAGTTAAACCTTTACTCAAAAAGCCATCTCTAGACCCAGCTATCATAGCTAATTATAGGGCAATCTCCAACCTTCCTTTCATATCAAAAATCCTTGAAAGAGTAGTTGTCAAAACAGCTAACAGATCATCTGTGGAGGAATGGCTTATTAGAAGAGTTTCAGTCAGGTTTCAGAGCTCATCAAGATTAGGCTTAAAACTTTCCTTTTTGCTAAAGCATATAGTTAGGGCTGGACCAGGTGACCCTGAATCCTCCCTTAGTTATGCTGCAATAGACGTAGGCTGCGGGGGGATTCCCATGATGCATTGAGTTTTTCCTTTCCAGTCACCTTTCTCACTCACTATGTATTAACAGACCTCTCTGCATTGAATCATATCTGTTATTAACCTCTGTCTCTCTTCCACAGCATGTCTTTATCCTGTTTTCCTTCTCCCACCCCAACCGGTTGCAGCAGATGGCCCCGCCCCTCCCTGAGCCTGGTTCTGCCGGAGGTTTCTTCCTGTTAAAAGGGAGTTTTTCCTTCCCACTGTCGCCAAAGTGCTTGGTCATATGATTGTTGGGCTTTTCTCTGTATCTACTGTACAATATAAAGCGCCTTGAGGTGACCTTTGTTGTGATTTGGCGCTATATAAATAAAATTGAATTGAATTGAATTAAATTAAATGGCCCACCCTGTACATTTACCCCTGAGACCACTTTTATACCTTCTTTTTACATTTTCTGAGGGGTACCTCACATTTCTTAATGTAACTGTGCGCAACAGGATTGCTCTTCCGTTTTTTTCTCTGGTGTTTTTAAACAGGAACTGTTCCTGTTTTCTTACAGCAACCTCGTATACACTCTTTTTTATCGTTGCCATGTTAATCTGAGGCAGCCTTATTATGCTAAGAATATAAGTTGAATTCCTGTGTTTTTAAAATAGTTCTAAACCTTCTACTCTTTTTAATAATTTCCATGATTATATAAATATGAGATTTTTGATGTGCCCTCAGGCATTTAAACCCTACACAGGACACCTTTTTTGAATAAGGTCATTTCAATGATTTTAAAGAACAGTATCAGACAACTAAAACATTAGGCTGTCTTATTGGTTATATTGTTATATTGTCAACAGTAAGAGAGTACGAGACAGGCAATGGAAACTGTTTTTTAAGATCCTCTTCCTCTAACCACATGTTGAGTTTCTAACTTTTTCCATCTTGTGAAACACATGTCTTGTTTTGTGGATGCTGACAGAAGAGGCAGGTGGAAGGCGTGAGTCTATTTTTACTGTGCAAATGACTGAGGTGTAGATGGATATCAGTAGTCATTGTTACTTCATGGGAGCATGTGTGAGGTGAACTTGAAAAGAAATTCTGGAACAAAACAAAACAGTACTGGATACTATAAATGGTGTGTGTAATGCTCCCTTTTTTTTAATAATACTTATTTAACTATTGCTGCTGTCATATCTGGTGTGTGTTAGACATCTTACCACATCGCGGAGCAGTCAAAGTTGACTAAAAGCCACTTGTGTGGGTTGAAGTTGAAAGAGTCAGCAAACTAAAATAAAAACCAAAAAGTTAGCCACAGTGCTAAATCTTGAACAAAGTGATCGGAGACCAAATAATCCTGTAAAAAAATAAACATTTTTTGTACATGCTTTGTACATGCTTATTTAGTCTTACTAGTGCCAAGAAAATCCTATCACCAACATTATTATCTAGACAGAAGGTGTCACAGTGTATCTGAAATGCAAAAGAGGAAGATCCAGCCATCAAGCTCACAGAATACACTGGAAATAACCCTTTCCTGACAGGGTTCATTCAAAGAGAGACAAACCAGTCTTAATCTGCTCTCATCTTTTTGTTGGCTATCTTCTGTAATATCCTTTTCCCTACCTCCACAAATGCAATAAGACAGCGCAGAGAGACAATGTGATATAAACCCCTGTCTGACAGTTGCCATGCTGACTGATTCAAAGTGGGGGGTGGTTGCTTCCTCGTCCCCGTCATTCATATCCTAGCAACCATCACTTCAGCAGGGCTGCTCTCTCATCCAAAAAGGACCGGGCTTCCTCTTCATGCCCTCATCCAGTCATTTTCACTGACCTCATAATGCTTCAAAGTTATGCAGTAGAACTACGGTGCTATAAATGAAATCCAACTATTGTTACATGTGGCTTAAATACATTTTTTTTTGTCAGTGACGTTTAAATAATATTAGAAATTCTAAAATGATGTGTTACAGGTACAAACCCAAAATCAGCACTGGCAACAGCCACACTAAAAGAGAGGATGGAACAACAGCTGTTCCTTTTACAGTTAAGTCTGTTTTCTCTGTGTCTCCACCAACGTTGTTTGAACTTGTGTGTCTAATAAACAGTGATATATAAAGGTCTAACGCTGCCTCAGGAAATTACTCTGTCCTTATCTCTGCGTCTCTGCACAGCTTGGGGAGCAACAGCTGCCTCGGCAGCCTCAAAAGGCAGATTGATGCTCAGCGGTTTATGCTGATTGTTCGGTCTAACACTCAGCCCTTCACGCTTCCTCCTTGACATTAACGTTATGCCCTTTTCAGACAGTATACGGTTAGTGTTTGCTTTCATAGATGCAACGGCCGATACTACATGTGCAATCTGGCAGGATAGATTTAGCACCGCCTAAATTTCTGACCACAATTAAACCACATTAATCACACGGAACCACATTAGTCACTGTACCGGCAATGATTAGAGTTAAAATTGTGCCGTGCCACTTTTGTGTTGGAGGTTCTTGTAGCAATCGTGATTGTAGAACCTTCATGAAGGACTAAAACATTGCGGCTAAGATTAGTCAGGGTCTTAGTGCACTACATGAACATGACAACTTGTACGTTTTACTCACTTCAACACCGTTCAACAAAGGTCTAAATTCTGGACAGATGAATGCACTCCCAGCATACGCCGCATCAATGTGCATCCACATATTTTCCTCATTACCTGAACAAGAAAAGGAGACATTATAAATGTTTGTAAGACAGTTTGTCAGTATAGATAACTACTATCAAATATTCTGGACCATCATAAAAATGAACTGAGATTATTCAGAAAACTGACTTTTTTGTTCTTTCTCAGCAAATTCATGAAGTGCATTTGGCATTTCTCTTCCTGGTCTTATTAAATCAAAGTCACTCTCAATGTGCTTGTTAGGATTTATTTGTGTGCTACAAAACAGAAAAAAACGAGTGTGTGCGGCAGCGACTTGTTGACTCACATAAGGGTCCCAGCTCAGTGAGGTGATCAAAAGCACAGGAGGGAGTGGTGCCCAGCGTCGCACAGAACTGAAACATACAAATATTGGACACACCAAAGTGCCATGTTTCCTGTGTTTCCAATTTGACTGTCACAACTGTAACAGCTGCTGTAAGACATTGCTTTTATATCAATTTCTAAAACATAGATTAAAGATAGGTTATCACTCCTGACACAGCGATGATTCAGAGCTGCTGCCTTTTCTTTAATATTCACTGATAGTGATCTGTAGGTCCAGATGAGCCAGGGATTATTGTCCTTAACCGGATAGACATACATTATATTCAACAGAAACAATGTTATCCTTCAGCAGAAGCCTCAGGGTGCATACAGCTGCATCACAGGCTAATTGTATCATTGTGGCTAACAGCTGACAGACGTGTTGCTCAACTGCTTGTTAGCTTTAGTAGCGAAAGCAAAGCAATGACAAATGAGAATTTAATTCCAAACTGTTAAAATCTATATTTTTTGGTTGCCGTATAGTGTCTTTCTGTGTGATAGTTAAGTAAATGCATGGGGAGTTTTGTCTTTTCCTACGTAGAAAGGGATGAGTCCAGCTGCTTTGTCCTCCTCCACCATCTTCTTAAGCATTTCCTTTCTGACAGCATAACGGTTATCTGTGGGCACCTTCCTCATCATGACTGCTCCAATCAGAGCAGCACGCTCCACTGAAGAATGAGCCTTAGGACAAAAGAGATCCAGCTCAAGTGAGAACAACAATTCAATCAAGTTCTTGGAACACCTGCTCCTTTAAGTAGCTGCATAAAGCTGCCATGCAAACAGCTAAGTTCAACTTTATGGATACTAAATGATTTTATCTGATTACTATGCAGGCAAAAGGTCAGAGTAATCAATTGCAGACAATCAGCTTATTAAAACAAAGCGTTAATTTGTTCAATACGGAGCTGGAACAATGTTAAGTGGGGCTGAGTTCAAACAACAAAGTACTATAAACTGTACAGTATGAAGTCAAGTATCACGGTGTGACTCAAAGTATTTTAGTCAAAAGTAGTTGTGATGTAGTTTTATGCCATTTGATTCATGCTGTAAAATTTAAGTAACACAAACTAAAGATGAAGATTTCTTTCCTGTGCTTAATTTGTTTTTGGCTAACAGTGCACAATACTAAACGGCACAAATCAATCAATTTTGAATTACCTGCAGGAGATTATCACTAAACAGATAACTATTCACTGTGAAAAAGGCATATGTTGGATGGATTTGTTGCTCCTGAACAGGCAGTAGACAAAAATCGTCGATCTCCCTGTAAAGGTCGGTGTGGCCCTCGGGCGACTCCCTAACACAATCACAAAGTCAGCCTGGTATTAAACCTGATCCGAGCGCGCTACTGCCTGGCTGACCCTCTATCTTCCTAAATTGCTGTTACTGACGTAACCGCTGCCGTCACATGGACTGCCGTTTAACTGAGTCTACTTAAAGAAAATCTGTGTTTGTAATGCATTTCATTTATCTTTATGTCACAGTTGCGTAACTTAATATATCTGCAGGTATATCGTTTTAAGCTGTTTTGAAATATAGCTAAGCTAATAACTTGCATGTGAACTTTAGATAAATGTAAACACTGTGACTATGGTTCTTCACAGTTGTAATATTAAACAAGTAAATGTTAAAGTGATGGGAAAAAAAACTAAAATTTAAGTAAAGTTAGTCATTTTGAGATGAATTGTAGAATTAATGTAGAATTATGGACTTGCATCAAGGCAAGTAATTGCATCGTTTATATGCAAGTAAAGTTGATCATTTTGATCACATCAGGAGTTTGCATCAAATAACAGAAGAAGAAGAATAGTAGAAAGTATATGTTGCTCTTACTTGGTCAGATGTGTATGCCACCAGCTTGGAAAGGATTTCAGACTCAGACTTTTTGGCATTGATCGTCTGGACCCGTCTGACTGCTTTACAGCGTGCAGCGAGCAAAGATATCAGGGTGGCCTCACTGGCAGTTCCCTGTTGAAGAATTAAGGAGGCTGTGAAGCAAAGCCTTGCTGCTGTGGATGTTATTTGACTGTAAAAAAAATCAGATGCTACATGGTTGCCAGCCAACGCCAGTCATCCTTTTGTCTACGATGGACTCTTGGAGCTTAATTATTGGTTTTTAAAGGCAGGGTTTCTGCAGGTGTTCTACAAATTGTCTAGAATGTTGCTGCTGTGTCACATTACTTCTATCCTCTTTGCACTGGTTCCCTTTAAAATTTAAGGTTCAGTTTAAGATTTTGTTGATCCGTTTCTTTGCTCTTAATAGTCCGAAGCCTCCCTTTATTATTGAACTACTTCATCTGTAACTTTTAGATCTTAGATCAGCAGACCTGAGTTCAGGTTAAAGACAAAAGGAGAAGACAGCGCTTTTATTTTGTTACTTCTTTTTTTTTTTTTTGTGGCTCCCAAGTTGTGGAACTCACTTCCATTGGAGGCAAGATTAGTGAACACTGTTGCTAAAAAGAAGCTGATGTCCTGTGAAGGATTGCCTTTCATTAGTTTTATTTATATTATTTTAATTTTTGTATTGTTTTGTTTTTTAAGGACTTTGTGACTTTTGTTTTTTGAAAAGTGTGCTATAAGTAAACTTTAATTCTTTACTTGTAAAAATTAGGCATTCAATTATTATTTATATTTCATTTTAGAATAATGAAAGCTATTAATAGAGAATTTAATTTCCATCTTTAAACCCGAGACGATATGTTATGCATGTCTATATGCATTTCAATCTGAGGTGTCTGTGGTCCCCTATGAAAATTATTTAATGATAAGGATTCTATTATATCTCTTTTGTTAATTAACTATGTCTGTATGAAACTTTGAGAAACTTTGTTTGATTAAACATGTAAGGTTTTTGTGCTGGTGGATAGTCCCTTTAACTGCATGACTCATGTCTTGACCAGAAAAAAAGAAATTTGGAAATTGTTGTTTGAAAGCACTCATCAACCAGCCAGCTGATATAGTGGCAACTGTTGGAGCTGGATAATAATAAAGTGAAGCATGGCTTCTAAGGTTTGTGGAGTCATTTTCACAAGGAGATCAATGAAATGTTAAAATCACCCAATCAATAGGCACAAATCAGCAGAAAGAAATTACATCAGTGGTTTTTAATCAAACTTTTGTCACTGACTAACTCCAAGGGATGAGTGTGAGGCTTGAAAACTCGTGCTAGAGAGCTGGGTGGAAGGCTTTGTTGAATGTGATTTTAGGATTTTGGACATGCATATAGATCTGTAACCAGCTATAAGGACATCTGAAATGTGAAGATTTTGTAAATATAATAATAACAATGCAACCTTTCACCAGAAGCATATTGTATATATTTTCAGATGTGAAGGCGGGAAGCGCTAACCAATCACGTCTCTGAGAGCTTGTGCAATGTAGTCATCATGAAGGAGTTTAAAGCTTTCTGCCTAGTCAGGTGGTAAAACTGGGTTTATGACTCTGTGTGTAGAAAGTTGCCTTTTTATTTTAAAAGGCTTTCAGATAAAGGGTCCCTACTCCTCTGTAAATGAACAAACCATGTAACAAACTGTTTTATGAGGCGATGTGAAAATCGCATTAGACTTTGGGACCATATCTGGATGCACTGAGTATCCTGGTTTGTAAATATATCAAGAACTTTGAAATTCTTTGAAAAGCATGAGGACACAATGGGTTTTTCCAGCTTTCACACACCCAGCTGTACTAATAGGAAAATGTAGCCTTTTGTTTTTCATGTATATTTGATTCTACCTTTTATCAGCTGAAAAGAAAAACAGAAGCCAAGATGTAGTACTGCTAAAGATGAACTGTGTAGTTTCAAGAATTTAACATGTTTTTGAAATAAATGTATAATGGTCACACACACAAACATACACACACTTTTTTAAATTGAAGCCATTAGTCAATTAGCACATGTAATCTTTTTAAGTAGTATTTTTCTCTGTCATCATGATTCATACGGGGTAAAAAGGGAACTCTAAGGTCACCAGAGGTTTTTTTTTAACCATCCCACTTCCCCTTTGTGTTGGTATAAGGTTTATAATAATAGGTCTGCAACGTGCGGTCACAACACTCAATTAGCCTTGCTGCAGCGAGAAGAGCCCCATTCGTTGCCATAGTGAGCCGTGCTAAAACAGGAGAGAGGCAAGAGAGAAACAAAAACACGATGAGCCAGATGAGCACGCACACAAAAAACACGCCCTCACACTCAGGTGGTCACAATAGAGGAGGCATGAAATGATCTGTCATCAGAGTGTGCTCTCATGCTCCACCATTCAACATCCCATAACACACACACACACATATATATAGAGTGTATCCTCAGCTATTGCTTTCTGTATTTCTGTCAATGGAACACCAAACTAATGCTTAGCCTTTTTCCACACGAAACAATCCCAGCACCATCATTGTCATCTCTGCCTGCCTGTGGATGACACATTAAAAGGCAATTTCCTGCCAATTTTCTGCTGGATTGAACCAGACGGAGGCAGAGACAACAAATCAATAGCATAAAAGCTGGTGATGAATATGAGCACAGGGGCAACCAGGTTATTTGTATACACATAAAGACTCTCAAAGTCAATCTGCCCCGAAACTTTTAAACAATAACATGTATAAAAGTGTCAGTTAGAGCCACTGATCTTCAAACTAGTGTTAAAATATGCAGAAGCTGGTTGGACTCCTTGATAGTGGTAGCCAACCAAGTGTTTGACCAAAGCACACATGCAATGAACACATACAAATGACCGTTACCTGAATGACACCACCTCCACGGCCATGTGTCCCAGCTATAAAACACTCAGGCAGCTGAAGCATCTTCCCAAGCCAATCTAACATCACTGTCTCTAGCTCGGTGCAGGCTGGGCTGGCAGCCTGAAACCACACGGCCAAAATGCAAATGAAAATGTCAAACACTTCAGATATGGACTAATTTCGAAATGCTGAGTCAGATACAGGAATACAGAAAGGTTTCAGTTACCCAGGAAAATCCAATGCAGCCAATAGCTCCACAGAGCATGTCGGCCACCATGGCAGGGTAAGAGGATGCTGCTGGAAAGTAAGCAAAGAAGTACGGGCTGTGCCAGTGGGTGACCTGGAAAAACACAAAACATAGTACAAGTGGTTATCTAAATTCATCGTATTCCTTATTTTGAACAGCTAATTGACCATCCTATATGGCCCAACAGAGTCCTAATATCCTGCAAACAACCCTTTTAAAAGCTGAAGCTTTAACCAACAACCAGTTTCTACCAGATCATCTACTAAATTTAAACTGCTACGCTAGAGTTGCCTGTACCTCAGAGATATCTAAATTACAAATGAATACATTTATACCCCCAAAATATATATAATATATACCCCTGGCATTATGACCCTCTCGACGTCTTTTATAATGTCCTCATAGCTTTCTGGCTCCAGTGGTGCCTCATTGGGGATTAAAGAGCGAAGATATCCTGGTTCCAGATCTGGGTAGACGGGTCGCTTCTCTATGTTTTCTAGGTAGTCGGCCACATAGTCTACCATCTCTTTGCCTCTGCGTCGAAATTCTGCTGCATCCATGGTACAACTGTAAGACAGCACAGACACTCATTACCTTTCAGTTTTTGTTGTTGCTTTGACTGCTTATAAATGATTTTGGTGTGTTTTAAGATTAAGATACTACAGAGTGGTACCAAATATTTAAAAGAGCAGCTATATTAGCACACAGAAGTTTGACCTTTGATCTTGCTGTAAGATGATGCTAAGTTATGTCCGGAGTTTTTGATCATGAGGCGTTTAAAATACATAAAAGCAGTTAAAAGTTACATTTAGTCACTCATTAATAAATACATATACACTCACATTCACTCAATCATATACACTTCATCACCTGTACTGGCCCTCTTTTGATTTCATAACTGCATTAATTCTTTGCTGCACAGATTCAACAAGTTGCTGGAAACATTCCTCAAACATTTTGTTGCAGCAGATTTGTCAGCTGCACATTTAAGATGTGAATCTCCCTTTCCACCACGTTGTCGTCTTTGATTGAGAACTCGTTGTGTTCAAGAAACCAGTTTGAGATGACTAGAGCTTTAGGGCGTAGTACGTTATCCTGACAGTAGTGGTATCTGACGCTGTCTTCTGCAGCTGTAGCCGTTGCAGAGGGTCATGAAAACTGCCCAGCGCATCGCCGGAGCACCACTTCCTGCCATAAAAGACATCTACAGGAAGCGGTGTCTGAAAAGGGCTGGGAAAATCATCAAAGACCCCAGTCACCCATCGCATGGACTCTTCACCCTCCTGCCCTCTGGGAGGCGCTACAGGAGCCTCCGGACTAAGACCACCAGGTACCGGAACAGCTTCTTCCCCACAGCTGTCAGACTCCTGAACTCTGCCTCCTGACATCTGACCCACGTTAAACTCATGGACTGAACATACACACACCCACAATGGACAACTGTACCCTCAAACACATAATAATAACATGGACTGAACCACCACTCACAACCACTAGCACTTTATATAGCCTCTGTAGAAACTATCTACACCCTCACTTATCTTAACTGCACTACTGTATAGCTCTGTGTAAATAATCATTCTGTACATTCGATAATCTTTAATCCTACAACTGTTTACAACTTGCATAGTTCCCATTTCTGTATAGCTGTATATCTCAGATTTCTGTAAAGTTATTTTTCATATTCTGTGTAGTTTTTCATATTTATATCCTGTTCATAGCCTGTACATAGCTTGTACTCACTACAGCCTGTACATACCTATAGTTATAGAATATTCACAACATACTTCATACCGTGTACATTATAACATTCCATAATAGACCCATTTCTGTAATATACTCACATATCTATATTATTGCTAATATATATTGTAATATATCTATATCACTAAAGCACTTCCGGATGGATGGATGCAAACTGCATTTCGTTGCCCTGCACCTGTGCATGTGCAATGACAATAAAGTTGAATTCTATTCTATTCTGATGACTTGTTCATTTCACGTTTATTTTAACACCTCTTGCATCAACTGTTACTATGCAGGCACAAATGCAGTTACCAGCAAAATGTATCTCTCACCTCTGACCTAGAACTTCATCTACAGTTAGTTGTGTCTGTAAGCGTGCTTGCCTTGGCCTTCTTGCGCTCTGGTCACCTTATACAATAGATCACCTGGACATTCACGCCAGACAAAGCTTATGACCCTCAAAAGGACTGAGCACCACATTTGCGAAGTGTGTATAAAAATAGCTACAACTACAAGTTTTAATAAGGTGGCACTAAAGCAAGCCATGTTAGCACTGATATATTTTCCTTTTAATTCCGCACACAAAACTTGATTAATCCTGGAGTCACGTAGCCACACTCGTTTGGGTTTTTCTAATTGCTTTCTTCTTTTATTTTAGTCAGTTTATTGAGTTTTTCATAGCGAATAGTTCTTCCATTGAATAATTGTTACAGAGGTTTAAAGGCAAACAACATCCTGGCATCTGGATTTTTAACATGGGTCAGACATGGATCCCAGGTCCTTTCAAATAGCCTAATACAGCATTACTGGCCAGGATCAACTTAATTTCTTCCAATGTGAGAGAATAAAGGACCTCCCCAATTTAGCATGTATACAGTAAATAGGTGAGGCTGGAGATTTCCTGTTTAATAGCATTAGTTATCTGGCCAGCAGAACTGTGAAAGCTTTTAAATTTAACAGGAGTGAAAGTAGCCTCAGTGAATAGGGCAGTCATGGCATTAGGAGTAACGTCGCTTCCAGTTAACGTGGAAGACATTTAAAAGATTTCAGACAAGAAATCATGGCCTTTTCGCATAGAGGAAACACAGTATCAAATATTTTGCGTGCTGAGCTTTAGCATAGGGAGCTTGATGTAGGATCTGACATGGGACAAGATTGTGTCTGTTCATTCTGACAGTAAAATGAGAAATTCCTTTTGTATTTATCCTGGCAGCCATGGAAAGATTTAGGAGTAAGTATTTCTATTTCTATTTATTTATTTATATAGCACTTTTAATAACAACAGTGGTGTTGACCAAAGTGCTGTACAAACATACAAATTACACAATAAAATAACACACAATAAAATAGCAATATCAATTAACATCAATGCCAAATAGCTAATAACAAGTGAATAAGTAAATAACGCTCATGCAGTATTAAAAGCCAGTGAGCAGAAATGTGTTTTAAGATAGGATTTAAAAAGGTTAAGGGTAGGAGCCTGTCTAATGTGGAGAGGCAAATCATTCCACAATTTAGACTGCACGACCGCAAATGCACGATCACCTCTAAGAACCAGGCTCGACCTTGGTGTGGCCAAGAGCAAAAGATCACCCGATCTAAGAGCTCTAGGGGGAATACAAGTCTGACTGATACCCTGGGGCCTGTCCATTCAGTGCTTTATAAGTCACCAATAAGATTTTATAATTGATTCAAAAATGTACAGGGAGCCAGTAAAGCGAGGCAAGCACCGGGGAGATGTGCTCATGTCTCTTCGTTCGTGTCAAAAGATGAGCAGCAGCATTCTGGACCAGCTGGAGCCTTGCAAGACAAGTCTGACTAATGCCTAAATATAAAGAATTACAATAGTCCAGTTGGGATAGCATGAAAGCATGAATTGCCCATTCTAGGTTTTTAAAAGACAAAAAATATCTCAAAGTGGATAAAAGCCTCAGTTTAAAGAAAGACCGCTGTACAACTAAACTAATCTGTTTCTCAGAGGTGAACTTATTGTCAAATATAATCCCCAAATTTTTAGCATGCAATTTGATAAAAGGTTCTAAACTGCGAAAATTAAAATGTGAGGTTCTAGAATTGCAACTTGGTCCAAAAACGATCACTTCGGTTTTATTTTTGTTGAAATTGAGGAAATTAGAGGCCATCCAGACCTTAACTTCGCCAAGACACTGAAATAGCGTTTCTAGGGAGGCAGAACTGTTTCTCTTTAGGTGAAGATAGATCTGAGTGTCGTCAGCATATGAATGAAAACTGATATTATATTTCCTGAAAATAAGACCCAGATGCAACATATAGATAGAGAAAAGAATTGGCTCCAGTACAGAACCTTGGGGAACACCACAAGAAAAGGGGGCTGTGGAAGAGGTAAAATCTCCAATCTTCACTGAGAAAGTCCTATTAGAGAGGCATGACCTGAACCACTCTAATGGAGTGCCTTTGATGCCGCAGTGCTTCAACCGAGAGATAAAAATGCTGTGGTCAACAGTATCAAATGCAGCGGTCAAATCCAAAAGCAGAAGCACAGCTGAATCGCCTGAGTCAGTGGCTCGTAAAAGATCGTTAAGAACTTTTAAAAGTGCAGTTTCAGTGCTAGGAAAAGCTTTAAAACCAGACTGAAACTCTCGAGAACATTGTGACCATATAGAAAAGATTGCAGCTGAACAAATACAATCTTTTCTAAAAAAAAAATTGACTGAAAGGGGAGCTTTGAAATAGGCCTGAAGTTTGCAAGTACAGAGGATGAGAGATTAGGTTTTTTTAAGCACTGGTTGCACAACAGCATGTTTAAAACAGGCTGGCACAACACCTGATTTAAGACTGCTATTAAAAATCGCTAAAATGTAAAGGGCTGTGAGGACCGAGCATGACAGATCGGACAAAAGTAACCAAAAGGTCATCTCCGTAAAGGGCCATGCAGATGACCCATGGTATTTCTGACTGTGCCAGGATCATAACAGGATCAGACAGTAACGCAAAGGGCTGCCTTGTAGAATGATATAAATGAAAATATTCAGAATTTGAGTCATTTCACTCAAAAGCTGCCTGAGAGGAAATGTATGGTAATATCACACATGAAACTAATTTTTCCCCAATCCCAATCTACTCTGTCAAACGCCTTTTCGGCATCCAGAAGAAGCATCCAGCTTTAATATGAATTGAAACTTCTAGTAGAGCAGTTGGAGAGGAGTTATAAACTATACTAACGACTTGTTTTTTTAATCAGTGAGATACAATCCTAGTTCAGAGTTTGAGGGAGTATGCCTGTATTAAAAGACCTGATAAACATCTCTAGCAGGAATGTGACCGCCTGCTTCCAAAAGGTTCAGCCTGGGCTTTCACAGCTTTGTGAAACCTCGACTGGTGTGACAGGACGCTCCAGTTCAGATTCTGATCCAGAGCAGGGGTGTTGAAACTGTTTCAAATGGCCTATAATCTATCAAACATATCTCTCTTGAATTAATTTTCTCTGTTTTCTTTGTGTTATTGTTGGGTCTCCATCTTACATTATAAAGCATGTAGTGATTTGGTGTATATAAATAAAATGGAATTGAATGACATCAAGTCAATTTGCACCTGAAAAAACATTCCTGTCACAATGTAAAAGCCAAAATCATTTTTTGGAAATTAGACATTTATATATGCTTTATTTATCTACATAAAAGGTATCACTGACACTAAAAATGCCAAGGGCAGCAGAAATGGCACCAATAACATCCCAGTTTTATAAAGATTTTAATGCAGAGTAATAAAGACACTTTTATGCATAACCCTTTCTTAAATCCTGTTGACTACAGTCTATTTCCTAATATACGCAAAGACAGACATTAAAAAAAAACACTCAGAAACATCAGAAATTGGCACAAACCTGGCAGCACTGATAAAACCTGTCTAAAAAGGGATTTTTCATCACATTTGGGAGCAAGACCCACCTTTATGTCAGAAATGTGCTCCAAGAAGATTATAAACCTGCCAGCAGAATCAGAAATGCTTTTACCATGAACAAAAGGAGAAGCTCTACAGTATGTATAAGAAAAGCAACATCTCTTAATTTACTGGAAATCGATGAAAGATAAGCTTTCTCAACGCAGGTTCTTTTCAGTCTAGTATTATCTCTAAAATGAGTTTCCTGCAAGTATATGACAATCAAGGTGCTGTAAATACTAGAAATGCTAGATGGTGATTTCTTAAGCTGAGCCATAAAGAGACAAAGCTTTCAACATGTGACCAGAACAATAAAAGGAAAAGACAAGAGAGAGGAAAAAAGGACAAAGACAAACAATTCTAAATATACAAGAGCACACTAAGCACAACAGAAGCATTCATACAATTATGTGTGTTACTTCTGCCCACAATAAACCAAAACAACCTGTGAACAACAGAAGAGACAGTGATGTCATTTTAAATTAAAAAAAGAAAAGTAACTTTTTTTTCAAGTAAACAGAATCTTTTTTTAAAAAAATACGAGTAATTCAGCATCAGTATGCTTCAAGTAGAGCACTCCATATTATATCCAAGTCTGTGAACAGAGACAGCAGCAGCACAGCACATAGCTGATGCTACATGCTGGAAATGTAGTTTTAAGTCACAATATTTAGGGGAGTTTTTGTATCTGCCAGAATAACAGCTACAAGTATTCCTTTTTCAATCCTGCTTAGTTTATACAAACAGTCATTGAAAATGTGCATTGCTTGCACAACTTAAACAGCCCAAAAGCTCCATTTGCATTCACTGTGTGGAGTACAGGCATGGTTTCATAACAGTGTCAGTTTCATGAATCTGTTCAAATCAAGCCACCATCAAGGCTTCCTTGTTCGTGTTAACATTGAATTATTTCAACGCATTTAATTTCCATTTCACGCGTCTCACAGTAACAAGCAAACCTTTTGCAATTAAATGAATAGCAGCACAAGAACACAAGCTTTAAAGACACCGTATTTGAACAGAAATGACTGTCAAACTGCTGATTCAGTGCCACAACAGCATATGAACATTGCCCCCTGAGCTCCACTACTGCTATCATTCAACAAGTGTTTCACCCTGCAAGTCTCTGTCCCTTGTTGAGATGACAAGTGAGTCCCTTATCCTTATCCTTATCCCAAATAGGATTACACATGTTGCATGAATATCTGTGTGTGTCTGTATACTCACATCTACAGGTGAGCTTCAGCAGCGGTGTTTGGATAGTGGATCTCTTCCTTTAGCGTCCACAAAGAGACCGACAGCTAGGCACGTGGTGAGTGTGTTTGTGTGTGTGTGTGTGTGTGTGTAAGCAGGACAAGAGACATTTGCTCCTTTTATCTTGCCACTTACCACCCTCATCCCACCAACCCCCACCAGACCAGCCAATGGGAATGGGGCTCATGGCCAACGTAAGAAAGACTGATTCACAAGGAGTTCCTGGAGCTGCTATTACCATGTCTCTACACACACATGTACATTGCACTTGTGCACACAGTGCATACAAACACACAAAAACGGGCACTCAGTCTTTTTACATATATTTTTACCACATCCTCTAAATGTACACAGATATAGACATAAAGACATATTTAGCACTAAAATATTGTGCACATAAAGATAAAATAAACAACTAATAACAAAAATAGTGTTAGTAATTTGTAATTTTATGATAACGCATTGTACTTTTGCACAGTTAGGAGGTACTTTTTTTTGTGACAAAGGAAAAGCCTAATGCATCCAATTTGAAACCACCACTAAATAAAGTGGTTGTTTACACAATTTCTTTGAAATCACACAGAAAAATATGTTTTTATAAACCAGCCTGGTGTTATTGTTTTCATTTTTGCTCATTATGAGCTGTCCATGTGTGTTACACATAAGATGTGGAAATCAACCTGAAATAATTAGAATTCCCTGTAAGTTTATATGAATTTGAATGAACTAGAGCACTCAAAGTGCTTTATGGTAAAAATGCTATTCTACTATTTCTATCTACTACATACAGTCAAATCTGTCAAAATGCTTTAATGCTATTAGTACTCTTTCTTTATAAAATGCATCCTGACTTAACAAAATGAGGTTCGAAATACTCAGAACCAGCATCCACATCTTGAAATAGAAGCCAAAATGTAAGCTAATGTGCAATAGCACTGAGGTAAGACAGGAGCTCCTACTTACTCTGGCAACATGTAATTCTCTATCAAAGCAGCAAATTATTATATTCTTCCTGATCACTGTGCTGGTGGGTATGATCACTCATTTCAGCAGATGTTAGTCATCAAAGTTAGATATTTTTGCATGCGTGACATTTTTGATTGATACACCTGGATTGAGGGAATTTACAATCGTCAGGCCAGAAATGTCAGAGTGTGAGTGTGTGTGTGTGTGTCAACATTTCTAGGTTGAATAAGCATTTAATTGTCCACAGTGAGTTTTTCAGTTCACCTCTTTTATTCATTTCAATCAAAAAGGGATTCTGGTATATCCGTTTTTCTTCTCCTTTTTTTTCTCCTTTTCTTAATGGTTTCCTTTGAGAAAATGAGAACATTGCATTTTGCTTGTTAACTCAGTTCAGGAATTGCTATAATATTTCCCAGAGCAGGTGCTAACTACTGGACTACACCAAAGAACTTTCAATGCAATTTAGTATGCCAAACCCCCCACTGTAAATCAAGAGGGCGGCTCCACCTGGGTTCTTTCAGCTTCCCAAATGTGCACTATATTAACATTAAATGTGACTTTGGAATTCAAGGTACTAACCTATTTGATTTCCCCTTTTGTCACTTTTTTTCTGAGCATTGAGGTTTGAGGTTCACTGCATGTTTGACTTTCCCACTGTGGCTCATGCACTTTCACTGGGCTGAACTTATAAGAACTTAACACAGAGTGTCTGTGTGTGAGTGAAAAAGATAACATTTCCTGTGACAGTGAAAGAGACAGGTTGACAGGTGGTGTCATCCAACCGTGTAAGGTAACAGAAAAGATGCTTATTTTACATTATTTATTCATCATTTGTCAATACACTGATTTTTTCCCCCCTCTTCAATATTTGTTAACGCACAGTCTAAATGAATGTTATTTACTTTTATATTAGGTAAGCAATCAATCTAAATGGTAAAAATGGTAAATGGCCTGCATTTGTATAGTGCTTTACTCAGTCCCTAAGGACCCCAAAGCGCTTTACACTACATTCAGTCATTCACCCATTCACACACACTGGCAATGGCAAGCTACGTTGTAGCCACAGCTGCCCTGGGGTGCACTGACAGAGGCGAGGCTGCTGGACACTGGCGCCACCGGGCCCTCTGACCACCACCAGTAGGCAAACATGGGGTTAGTATCTTGCCCAAGGCTATTTGGCATGCAGCCAGGAGGCAGCCCTGGATCGAACCACCGACCTTCTGATTAGTGGCTGACCTGCTCTGCCACCTGAGCTACAGCCTAAAGGCAATCGCAGCAAACTACATACACAGCAGTGTTGGGGAGTAACGGAATACATGTACCGCCATTAAGTATTTAAAATACAAAATATGAGTAACTGTATTCCATTACAGTTACCGTTTAAAAAGGTGGTATTTAGAATACAGTTACTTTGTTGAAATAAATGGATTACACGGCGGTATTTTCCTGTTTCATTTCCTGTCTCATTGAGTAACGTAACACGTTACAAAATACATTTTGGGGCATGTATTCTGTAATCTGTAGTGGAATACATTTTAAAAGTAACCTTCCCAACACTGATACACAGAAACACTCAATGCACAGACATAGCACCTCCTATATTAAAGTCTATTTAGAGCTGTAAGATTAAGAAGGTAGATGGAAAAACAAATACTGGTTCATAAAGTAATCCATTTCTTTCAGAGTTTCACAACTATTAAACTCTCTCCAGCAAAGTGTGCACAAAAAAGCTTTAAGCAAAAGTATAGGCAACTCACCTTGTGTCCGGATGTTATAAAAGTTTCTTTGGTTGCAGGCTGCGAAGCTGCAGACATGTTAATCTTTAAACTTTTTCTTTGCCCACAACAAAACTGAGCCTCAACACATGACTCACAATCCAAAGGGCGTGACAGATGGTGTCAAAGGGCAATTTCACGATGCCTTTAATGACAGCCCCGCAACTACCAACTTTTCTTAGCACCACTAACCACATATCACAAAGATTTATTCTGAGATTTTAATGTACTAAATCCTAAATCTATCAAATACCTCCAGAGACACTTTATTTGCTAGCTCTTGAGCTGGCTGTAGCACTGCACCATCTTCTGGAATAACCAAGTATTACACTTCATGGGTGAAAACACGAGGTTTTATGATATCACATTTTTAAAGTTTCCAGGAAGGCTTTCTACAAGATTTTGGCATGTGTCTGTGTGAATTTTTGCCCTGGAAGAAATTTCACACATTTGTTATAACAGAAGCCTCCTACTACAGGACCACACCCGAAATGAGGGAATACTTAAAGCCCCCAAGAATGGGTCGTTTTGTTTTATGCAAAAGGACTGAATGAAACACCCAAAATTAGTTATTAGTAGATGTGTCCATTTAGTGTATACAGCACTTGACTCAATTATCTGTTTTACCCAAAGTAGCAGATAGAATAGCTTTATAATTTGTTTTTCACATTCAATTTAATGTACTGTGTTAGTCCCTCACAGAAACCTTCACATGCTACTTTTAATAAGACATATGAAAGGGAAGCTTCCCTGCATAAAGACAAACACTGTCTTTTTTTATATCAATGTATTAATGTTTTATTCTAATTACAATAAACAGAATATATCAGTCCCTTATTTGTACAAAAATACCTGAAAAGGTTACAATTAAGATTTATCAGCCATTAAACTATTTACAGATTGAAGCAAAGCACATTATGAATACAGAAGCTCTCTTACAAAAAGAGAAGTTACCGTTTTCTTTTTTGCATTCCCTGAAATACATAAGTTTATATTTTTATAGACATATTTTTACTTTTACTCATTTGTACAGCCACATTATCTTGCATTATGACAATGTTATGAAAATGCACAAGAGTCAGAACAGATCGCGCCACCTTTGCAGAATAAGGGCCAAATGTCTGAGCTCCAGAAGCACACCAAAACTGCAGCTGAAGAGAAAAGCATTCATTCCTAACAGCTTATACCAGATTCAGAGTGTGTGTGTGTGTGTGTGTGTGTGTGTGTGTGTGTGTGTTTTATATGTAGTCATCAAGTGTTTATGGACAGTAGCTTTGCCATTGGTCCACATCTTAGACCTAGTTGGTGCACAGGAATGGTGGTGGGGTGTATCAGAGGCACGATCTGTGGGTACAAGTTACCTGACTGCCAAAGCTAACAACATGCTCCAACATGAGTGATATACGCTTGTCTAATTTGAGTGTGTATTTGGCGGTGCGGGAGGGGGGTTGAATCAGCTCAGGAAACCAGTATTTCAGGCCTTTAACAACAAACAGAAAAAAATAAACAAATTATGGGAAAACCAAAAACACAGTGTTCTTTAAAAATTGCTTGTTCCGTTTGATTTTCTCCATATATACTTTAAGTAATCACAACTAGCAAATGGGTGGTGCACGCAATGGAGAAAAGTCTCAACTTAATTAAACTACAATATCCAAGTTTGTCATCATTGTGTACTCGTCTTTTGACAGATTAGTAATTTTAACATGCTTCAAGTGCGCCCTGAGCAACCCAGGTATATTCAGTTAGGCAAAAATATCGATAACCAAAAATACTTACTCCACCTTCCACGTGTTCCCCAATTTAAACTGAGTTTCGCATTTAGTGTTAGTACAACCCTTACCGTTTTTATGTAAAATATAAACCCACACTTACAAAGCTCCCTGTATTGTCCCTCACATGGTAACATCTGCTACATCAAAACAAAGCCTCATTGGGGGGTACTTAACATTTTCATATTACAATAAACTAACGGTAAGGACTCAGCAGCTTAGGATGACTTCCAGCAACTGTGAAACACTTTGTGTGATAATCCATATTCGTCCAAATCTCTGCAAGTAAAACATCAGTGACAGACTCCTCCCACATTCATACAATGATTAAAAACAGCATCGTCCTCCCCCCCCCATTCTTAAAAAGATACCATTATTGTAATATTGTTTATTATATCCAATCTAAAATTTTTACTTTAATTTCTAAAACTCCTTTTTAACAAGGTGAAGACAATGTTGTCCTCTACCTGACCGAGTTTCCCAAAACATTTGTGGATTTATTACTTTAGTTTATGTCTATGGTTCTTTAAGGACACCACGAGAAAGCCAACTTTAGAGGTTTTGTGTTCTGGAAAATTTTGATATCTGGAATAAATATCAGAACTGTCAAAGAAAACTGAAAAAAAAAAAAACTCAAAGTGATCAATGCTTTGGGAAACCCAGATACCTTTCATTCTTTCATTTTTCCAGCGTGCCATCATTTGGAATGACAATGTTAACACTACGGAGGCCAGTGTGCTTTAAACATGACTTCATAACAAGACTGATGATAACAAATCATTGCTGAATAATCAAAACTAAGAAGTCAATATAGGTCATGTCATTACAATTCTATTAATCACCCTGAACAATGAATTTAAAGTAATGACAAAAAACAAAAACAAAGTACTGAACAGCGCCGAGAAAAAGATATCTAAAAATTTCAAGTAATCAGTCACATCCAGGTAAATAAATAAACATTTTGCTGCAACAATAAAAACAAAAAAAGCCATTGCATCTTACATAAATAATGGTGAACACACGGAGTGTCAACATAGCGCTGCTATTCTGCATCTCACTTCTAAAATACCATAAGACAACCTGCTGGCAAATAATAGATGGCTGTTGATGTAAAAATGGTAGGAAAAAAATAAACACTCCGCAGAGATTGTTGATTCTGAACCTACTTAAGTGGAGGAAAGCGAGAGCCTCCAACATTTACGTCCAGTGTAACTTTGAGATGCCCGTTATGCGTCATCTATAGTGGGAGTGTACGAGTCTATCCAAAGAGAAAGCTGATCTATATGGAGACTCCAAACTGAAACAGGTGATTCTAGGAGCTCCATTGCGGACAAGTTTTCAGCCAAAAAAAAAATTTATTTGTATTATTCAAATTGTTTTGTGTGGGACAAAAGGTAGTCACAACTGCTTCCAGACCAACTGTATGAGCTGTACACCTGCTGTTCTCAGTCTGATGCTCCTATTGTTGTCACTCAAACACACATATTTAGTAATATTTCCAGTTTTCCCTCTCTGCTTACAGAGTATGTTCACTTTATCGAAGAGCAGGCTGAAGAAAGAGTAACAAGGCCGGGATAGGAAAAACGAGAAGGCGGCGATACAGGTATCACTGTTGGATGTTCTGATGGTGTACTTTTGTGAAAGGTCTTTCCTGGTTGTAAAAAGGTGGGCTGTAAATGTATGTGTGACTGTGTCTTGGTACAAGTAGTTCCAGGTAGAAAGAAAAAAAAAAAAAGGCAACATTATGTGAGAAGTAATGCACAGAGTCTGCCATTAATGTCAGAGCACGCCAAACTGTTTTCATTGCCACATGTTTGTTTTACAGCAGTTATGAGGTCATTTATGGAGCAAAGGAGCGTCACTGTGGGACAGAGGCTCCCCACAGGATCGTCTGCATCTCTGGGGGGAATTTTGTGTTTTATTTATTTTTTTTAAAAATGAACCACATTTCCTTTGATGTGTTGGTAGTTACCTCTAGAGGAAATGCTAGTGGTTATCCTTCCCTGTGCTGTGGCAAAGAGAAATAAAGCACTGATACCGTCCTGCATACAGCTGCAATAGTATTTTTATTTTTTCCAACTGGACCTCAATTTAATTTGACCAAAATTCACTCTTCTAGTTTGTTTTTGTGGAAGTTGCTTTAAGAATGTCTTGGAAAACTGAATTGCAGGTAGAATAGATAAAAAGCTTATGTGAAAATCAAGAGCTTTTAAAATCCAGGATGCAAAAAGGTGGATTTTGTCTTTAGTAATGATAATAGCTGAAGCTGTGTGTGGGAAAAGATTTTGTACTTATACCAAAAGCTTTGTTTCAATAACCTTTAATTTTTGCAAAATTCAATGGGATTAAAAAATTGAAACCCTGGTGCCTCAAAATGTCCATGCATTCTTATGACACTAGAGGGCGATGGCACCAACTCACAGTTAAGAAATGCGCCACTTGAGAGATCATGCGGCATCCAATGCCATGCCCACTTCCACGAGTACAAAACTAAGAGACAAACTCTTAATTCATTCTGAGGACATTTGATAAAAATGAGCGAGACTCGTTTGTCCTTAAAGAGCAGAGTAGTCCGCATGAAAGCTTCAATTCTCCTGCTGATTGTCCAGTTGAAGGGGAACGGTGCTCATATTTGAGCTGCGTGGTAAAACCTCGAGGGTCCACGCTTTTCTGGTGACTATTGGTAAGAATAATGTGGAAGATTCTGCAACAGCATCGACACAAATGGCAGTGTTCATTTCTTTCATCTTCTCTTAAAACTGCGAGCCTCTGGAGTGAAGTTGTGCATCAGACTCCTCGAACCTCCATGCAGATGAAACGAAATCCCCCCCCCCCCCCCCAAAAAAAAAAAATTTTAAAAAAAAAATCAGCAGTCTCCAGCGAGCTCACAACAATATAAAAACAAGTGTAACAACAACAACGTCAGTCAATTCACCAGCTTCTTACAAAGATAAAAACAAAAAGAAACGATCAACGGGGAGATTCTTTTCATTTTAGGCAGAGTCAGGTCAAGTGTTGGGGGGCGGGGTCATGTGATCCGAAGGTGTCATAAGGCCACGACGGTGCACGGGTGTTTGAGTTTGCAAGGCAGCACTCCTCTGTTGAGCTGGTAGAACTCCACCAGCTGAATCAGGTCGGTGAACTTGGTGGCGCCGTCATCAAGGCTGAAGAAGCCTTGGCCATCCTCTTCACACTGGCGGCACAGGCGAGAGCGAACGGCAGACGGAGGGAAGAGGTGGAAAAGACAACATCAGACTTTCTTCTTATGGATCAACGAAATAATTTGAAATGCCTGATCGGTGCATTTTTTAACATAGCTTATGAAATAATGCTTTAACCCTGAAAAGCCTGGATCATCAAGTGGAGTGATTACTGAACCTTATGACAAATTTAAAAATTAAATATCAATTTGCATATATGTGTTTTGATTTTGCCACATTTGGGATTTCTGTGCAATTTAGTTTTTTATATTAGTGCTGTCAGCGTTAATGTCGTTAAAATAACGTTGACGCCGTGCAGCGGCTACATACCATACATACAAATAAAAAAACATATAAAATAAAAATATAAAATATAAAAACACTGGTGGTTTAAAGATCACAAACACTCATAAATATGGTACACTTGGCATTACAGGGTTAACAGACTAAGCTACCATGGAAGATGCAGTATTTAACAAACGTATTAGACCAACACCCAGTGTGAGTTTTATGCCACAGCTGCCCTAAACAACAACAACTGCTTGTAATTATCAAAATAATATTTTTGTTTCTGTAATGGTTAATGTAATGGTGCAAATTTAATATTGTATTTTAAAAAAAAGTTGAAAACAATAACAAACATTTAATTTGGCATCTTAAGGAGAAAAAATGAGTTAATTACTCACATTCCTGAACAGGAACTATACTTGATTAATTTTTGACAGAGTTCTAAAACTCTTGTGTTTACTTACTTTAATTGTGGTCTAATAGATTTGGCAAGCACTTAAATGCAGTAAAGTAAAGCCATCAGGTGCAACAATATACAAACACGCACGAGACATGTAACAAGTAAGCGAGAGTCTTACCGGTAGGATCTGGAAATGCTTGATTTTCTGGTGATGGCACAATGTGAGCACAAACGCCTTGGGATTACTCTGACTGACTCTCAGCAGAAACAACCTGTGAAACAAAAAAGGAGACAAAATGTTGTAAAAGCCTTCACTTAGTGTTACAGATTATATATCTATATAGACACACCGATATATAAATAAATAAGTGTAAAAATATATAAAGAAAAAAGCTTTGCCAGCTTACTTACCCATCTACTTGTCCCTGCTGGTGGATAATGCGGTGGGACTCTTCTCTGGTTATCCTGCCATGGAACCAGAGCTGAGCTATGTGGATGACTGCAGAGAATAATTTTTTTTTTTTTTTAAAGTACATTTTTATAAAATAACATTATATACACAGAAAGAATATGCAAAGTTAGGGAGCAGTTGCAAGTTCTTTTTCCTGTTTTGCATTTACCTGAGCTTAGTGAGGAGTGGTGTAATGGACTGTGGGACCCCAGTATGTTCATTCGTTGAGTCCTCTTCTGAGAAAGATGCCACACAGAGACAAAACAATGTGGTTTAGTTCATGGTCTGTTTGAGCGACAGTAAACAGCAGCAATTTGTAGCTTCTTAACATAATTCTGATAACTTTAAGTGAAAAACAATCACTAAAACAGTAAACAGGCTAAGGAAAGATCAGATCAAATGTGGTGAACGCATGGTCTAATTTTAAGACTGTGGAACCTGATCATTGTCTCCTTTACAATTGGACAGAAAATGGAATTTCAGACAGCCTAAATCAAGTACTTAAAAGTCACCTTGTACATTTATAAATTAAATGAATTCATCTTTTCCAACTAACTCTCTATAATTATCGGAGCAAACATAAACAGAACTGCAAGGATCCTAAAAAAAAAAAACAAACAAAAAACCCTAACAGGTAACAAAAAGCCGAGCATCTCTCACCCGCCACGCGTGCCCCTCCTCCATGGCAGCACTCTGAGCTTCGACCGGGTTGTCAATCACTCTGCCTATCCTCCCTGAGAAATCCATTGCCACGAGGGAGTTCTCTGATACGCTCCTCTAGAGGGAGACAAAGACACATGACAGTCAAAATACAAGAGTGCAGACAGACTACATACGAAGGCAGATCATTTACCTAAACTAAGTCAGACTATATCCTTACATGCACAATCACTCCAGTAAACTTACCACAGGAGCTGAAAAGTGTGAAAGTAAAGTTTTCCTTTGTTGAGGAATCTTGTAATTCTGGTACAATACGATCCCATACTGCAAAGGAAAAGGAACAGAGTAGTGAATAAAGGCCATCAAATTACTTGCATTACAAAGAATTAAAAGTATGCTAGAAGTCATGTTGGCTGTACTGTGATGTAGGCAGTGCAGAATTACCTTAAAGATTCGAAAAGCAGTCATCCAACAGCTTCTGCTCTGTTCGTCCTCTGCACACAGCATTCTCAGCTCCTTCATATCCCCTCTGCTTTTATTAGGCTGCCAATGAACAATTTACACAATCAGAACAGAGACTACACTCACTGCATCAAACTCTTATTCTTGACACCACTTCTATCACCATTATTATTAATTGGAGAGAGAAAGATGATATGAACAACAAAACCAAAGACAGTTCATCTGAGTTTATAACTCATAAATCACAGGGAGGGAAAAAAAAAAGTTGCTGCACTGATAAACCAGTTCTACTGAGACAAGAAACGGCACAGGATATGAATCATACTCAGCTCATAATATTTCATCATTCCACTATTTCATAATTAGATAAAATCTGTTTCATCTCACTTGCGTCTCACCTTGATGCAGAAGCCGTAGTCTGTGGGTGCGCCGTGCTGCTTCTTGCCTGTGATGACAGTGAAGATGTTGCTGTCCTCAAGGTCTGCTAGTAACTGTAGATGTCTGGGCTCCTGGAGACAGAAATTAATAAATCAAAATATCAGAGAGGAGACAGCCCGGAGGCACACGAACAGACAGAGACGTGTGCAACTCGGCCGTCAATAATACGGAGTTTCTTTCACGGAGATTACATTTAAGGTGGACTGTATTTCGCGTCTGAGATGAATGGAGCGAGCCGCCGTTACCTTTGAGGTTCCTTTTGTAGAACAGTAGAGCCCTGAGCGCCGCAGAAACATGTAAACCTTCTTCCATGATTTCCTTCCCACCTCCTTCATATACAGATGCCCCTGGATTTCTGGACAGCTTTTGGTGGCTAGGAAGTTCTAAAACAGGGAGCGGGAAAATGCAAATAATTATCAATTTATTCACTCTGTCATTTCTTTTGTAAAAAGGAGCCAGATTACATCTGAAGCCTTTGAACCCCCTGTCACTACCACAGGCAGAAAGCTGGCACCATCTGTAGGGGCATCAAAGACAGGAGGCTCATTGTGACAATGTGTGAAAACTCAAAGGCTGTCACAATCCTGATAGTGACATTTGTACATTTAATTACAAAAAATAAGAGAACAGTATATGCATAATTTACTAATACTGCTTGGAAAAGATATGTTTGTTAAACTCAAAAGAAAAACTCCATTAAAACTGTGTCCTGTTGTGTTTTGTGGCTTTAAAATGAAAATCGTGCATTTCTACAGGGAAGCCCAACTTGTCTTATAGGTGTTTGAAGAATTGGGCGTTTGTGGTTTCCATGTTTTAGGAAAGCATTTCACCGTGAACTGCAAGTCAAGTTACTGAAGCCGATCTGGAATCTGTGGCTTACGGGTAAAGGCAAACTGTTCCACAGTACTTTTGAATATTTAAAGCATGTGTTTCGGAAACAATTTGACATTAGGCTTCGTGCATGAACATTATCCAAACTCTGCACAGTCACACAGAACGTTAATACAAAGAGCTGTCCCTTGGAGGCCATTCGCTTCAGTAACTTACTCACATGCATCTTGCATAATGCCAAATATTGCAAACACCTGGTGGAGCTCAGGATTAGAGAGCGCCTTGGTTTACACAGGACTCTAATTGAGTGCAAAGATCTTGTGTTTGGAAGAATTCCGGCTCTGGAAATTCCTGACAACTCCAGCTCACCTCATTCCGATCCAGTTATTAACTCCTCTATGCAGAGGATAAGTGCGCATAACTTCTATATGATCAGCCGGACTTAAAAGCTTTCTGTGAGTGGCTACCTTGAAGTGATGGATTCCACTTGTGATTTTAACTCTGACAGCTCCATTACATGATGCAGGAGAACGCCAGCCAATCCCATTAAGATATTTCAAAAAAAATAAATAAAAAATCTCCTACCAGACATTTTTTCTTTTTTGATATTTGTAAAGAGTATACTGGGAGTATTAGTGAGAAGCCAAAAAGTACACGTGACACACATGTGGAAACAGTACTGAGAAAACATACAACAGGCAGGTGCAGATCCCAACTTGGCTAATGAAAACAAACTGAGTGTAATTACCTAGAACCCCAAAACAGAACACATGGCTCGAGGCCCGAGTCATTCGAACCAAAAGGTCATCATTTGAAAATTTTCCACTATGGAACTACGCAAATTGTTTAAATCCTATTGCAGAGACACTCAGAAGATGGATGTATGAACATAAAGATATTTGGAGATTTATACACAGGAAATCCCACGAATATAAACCTGCCTCGGCCCAACCTGTCTAAGTCCTTACAGATTTCCTAAAGGATGAGAAGTCTGGAGAAAGGATCATTCAACATCTAACATGTATCGACAGCCAGCTTTTCTGACAGCCATTTACAACATCTGTGATAAAAACATGACTAATTTCCTAACATGTACAGCTGCGAGTTGGATCTGAAGCTCTGAATATGATGATACTGACAGGCACAATTTTGTCCACTAAGCAGAAGCCACTGGACACACCCACTGCAAATTAAAATGACAGCACATATTTGTAGCTACATTAGAGAAAGTCCACTAAAAAACTTCAGTAAACCTATCAAGTTTTTTCATTTTGGTTGCTACTACAGCTTTGACAAAAAAAAAAAAAAGCATCTTAATATATCCGACCAGCCTCCTTCACAAAAGCGGCTCACCGAATTACCATCATAATCCTCCAGTCCACAACCTGCCCCCACCCCAAACCTCCCACAACATTAAAAAGGTAAATGTTTTAGAAGATATTTTATTTTTTGCCCCATCATTCATTCCGCTGTATGTACATTTTAAAAAACACTGTTAAAAAATTCAATTCAGCTGTGTTTTGCTCGTATTTCAATCAATAAAAAAAAAATAAAATAAAAATAAAAATAAAATTTCCCAACAGCACAAGGGTAGATCCGAAACTCTGCGTTCTATTTCTGATGGCTTAATTCCATCCATCACAAGAGCCGGACCTGTGGTGTGCGCCGAGACAGTCGTGTCAACAGGGGATCAACACTAGTTATTACTGCAGGCTCTGACGAGACACACTGTCTAAGGGTCAGAGGTGAGGTATGCCAGCTTGATTGTACAGTATGCATGTAGCAGGTGCTGACTCTGAAAACGAAACTGTTTGCGTGTTAAGAAGAGCAGCGAGACTGCAGCGTGTGTGAGCTGTACGTACCTGAAGGAGCTGAGATGGTAGAATTGCATGATTAGATTCCTGGCACCACGCGACCATGTGCTCTGGGAAAAACGTCTGTTCAAAGAAGGAGGTGTGGAGAGAGAGAGAGAGGCAGAATTACAGATACTGTGACGATAATTATAGTGTCAGATTTTGTGACAGAAGCACAGGTGACTACTTTCATTATTGCAGTCTGCTGTAATTATGAAATAATCTGCAAGGTTAAGTTGGCTCAAATTTGCTGTTTTTACAGGCTCTGTATTTCAACAAGATGCCGTCACGAGTGACGTGGCAAGTAAAGAAGTGTGTCAGGAAAAATAATTACCAGGGGGTTTCTGAAGAATTCATATTTGGCATAGTTCTTCCTGAAGAGGAATCTACCGTCACTGTTCATGGAGGCCTGGACCTGAACCACCAGCTCATGGTCTTCTAGACAGCGCTCTGAGAGGAGACGGGAAGAGAAAGTCAAGCTAATTTCACAAGCTTGGCCGAAAACATCTTCAACATCTCACAAACACCCTCGCACCAAACTTAAATAATTAAACAAGAGAAATATTAGTCATCAACATTTCTTGTAAACCAGAAATTAAACTTAAAGGGGGGGGAGAAAAAAAACAAACAAAAACTCAGTGGGGTACTTTCGGCTGCTCCCTTATTTCCCAGGAGATTGCCACGGTGGATGTTTAATTTGGCACAGATTTTACGCCGGATGCCCTTCCTAATGAAACCCTCCCATTTGTACAGGCTTGGCACCGGCATGAGGAGTACACTAGCTAGCTTGTGAGTTTGCGTCTCCTTCCGCGCTCAAACCAGGAATCTTTTACAATTAGAAGTAACCGTGTTTACTACTACTACTACTACTACTACTACTACTACTACTACTACTACTACTACTACTACTACTACTACTACTACTACTACTACTACTA